TAACTCGAAACATAAAGCCGTGAAAAAACATACTACATTGCCTGTAATAAACAACCTAGCCTTCTTTGATGTAGGTGCACTAGGTGTGGTTACAATGCGGCATAAACAACTATGATAAGTGAGAATTTGTAATAATTCAATAGTAATTTTTTTTAGTACATTTACACTGATAGAGATTTATGAAATAACGTCACTTTTAAAGCCGTAATTTCTTTTGGAACGCATGATGATTTGAATGATGGAGAAACATACAAAAACTTAGAAAATGAGGAGGTTATATATTCGACGGCAATTTTTTTTTATGTATGTTCACCGATAAATCCGCCAATGTTGATCGATTTTCAAAATTTTTTTTTTTGTTCGACAGCTCAACAGGCCTAGGCGCCATTAAAAATTTATCTGAATCAAATCAGTTAGCTCGGTGGCGCAGTAGATAAGCGCCTCGGCCCGCGATCGTAGTCGTTAAGCAGCTTTCGCAAGGGTCGGTCACGGGATGGGTGACCAAAAATTATTATCTCGAGCTACTCCGTGCTTCGGAAGGCACGTTAAGCCGTTGGTCCCGGCTGCAATTGCAGTCGTTAATACCCTCCAATCCGCATTGGGCCAGCGTGGAGGGTTATGGCCCATTCTCCTTAACCATCCATAAGGAAGGCCTGAGCCCCTGCAGTGGGAATGTGATGTAACACAACAAAATATGCTTTTCATCAGATATCACCTAAATATTTAGATTATTTTTATACAGCTAAAAAACAAAAGATTATATTGCGTATTTCGAATTCCTTCAAAATCGGAAAGGAGGATTTTCTATGTTCAAAATAAAAACTTTTTTCAAAAAAAGAGAACCGAATTCAAACTTTAAAAGTGTATTAAACAATACTTATCTCAAAAGCGACTTATGAAAGAAAATAAATGCTATTGAATTCGGGCGCCTGTTATTTAATTAATAACATACTGAAAACCTCCGAGAATCGAGAACGAAAAGAGATCAGTATTATTTATTACTTTTTTATTACTATTTATTACTTTACAAACGTAAGTTACGTTTGACTTTTCTCAATAGTATAATAATAATCAAAATATTTTCATCTAACGCTTGCCATAGACAATTCCAATTAATGATATTGTTCATTCAATATATTTTAAAAAAATCGCGATCGCAAATGCTATCACATGTTAAATAGTTGCAATGTTAAATTTCTTTCAAATATTAAATTAAAAGGAATTGCGATAGAATTTTAAATAAGGCAATTGGAGGCAAAGCCCTATTATGCTGAGTACATATTCCCTGATTCATCTAATATAAACTTAATTATGACAACTCAAATAAATATTTTTACTCAGTTCTTGTCTTGTTCCTATATTACAAAAAAACGTAACAAGGTCTTATTTTCGCAGTAAAAAAACTGAAACGAAATGCGACTTAATCAGAATAGTTGTCAATGGGGTAATTTTAACCTTTATGTAACATCAAATATGACCTTAATTACTAAAATAAGGTCAAATCCAGTTCTTTACACATTAGCAGGTACTCACAACCTTTCGCTCTTTATATAATGTTACTAACGATTTAACTATAAAAAGTGTTATTTCATATTGAAACCTTTTTATTCGATAAATACTTTTTTTAATGTATGTTCACCGATGTCTCTGCGTATTGTAGACCCATTTTCGAAATTCTTCTTTTTATTCCAAAGCTTTATAGGCCTGAATATATTAATGATGAAAATACTATCATTTTTTTTATACGTTATTTTTTATATCTGCCAAATAAAAAAAAACGAAAACAAAAGATCTTGTATTTTGCTTTTTATGATTTAAGTACGTCACTTAACTAAAATAAAAGAAATATAAAATTTATTTTTTTTAAAATAGTAACCAAATTATGTATTTTTTTTAAACAATATGCTGTTATTATCAACAAATTTCCCAAAGATATAACGTCATAGAATTTGAGAAATCTGTATCATTTATTTGTTGTTAGAAAATCAGCGCGTGTTTTACTCTACTGATTTTTTATTTTATGTTTCATTTCCATTGAATAAACCTAATATTATGTAGGTTGGGAAAAAGTTTTTTTGCATATAGTATACATAAACTTGTACTAAAATCTTCTGGCTATACCATTTGTATCCAGCTGGTTTCGGTATCATCAAAGTTATAATTACAGAGAAGATAACTTTTAGGAAGATAATTATAGAGAAAATCTGTTTTTCTTACTGTCAAAATGAGTGAATCTAATTAAGAATACATTTATAGAAAATAAAATAAAAAAATTCAGTCCGGAAATTTTGATCTCATTGGGATTAAGTCCCTACCTAAAAAATGGCAAAAAGTTATCGAACAAAATCGTACCTCCATACTTAAGTAAACTGTAAATGATTTCTTACTTAAAAAATGTTTTGAATTTTCATATAAAATGCGAAGAAACTTTTTCCCTAGCCTATTTTTTTTAAACAGTGATGGGATTCTGCCTTTTCACCGAAAATTGTTTGGCCGATTATCACTTGCCTATATTTCACTTTGACAACTAACGATTAGATTAAATTTTTGTATGACAACGTTTCACCTGGTAGATTTATTGTTAACTTTAGCTACTCAGCTGGGAATCTGAGCGATGCATATGACGTTATCTTATATAGGTATATGTAATAATATTTCTATATTTGTTTTTTTTTGTTTGTTAGTAATACCTACAAGTAGAGAAAATATATGACCTTGTCTACGCTAAAGCACTACTTCTATAGGATGAGGTTGTGACTCTAGTATGTGCTTTACCTGTTATTATATAATTACCGTTTCTAAATACTTAATAATCCGTTGCACCCGCCCACGTAATGTTATCAGACCCTTGAACTTTACTGGCAAATCAAAGTGCAATATTTAAGTAAGTGCAGAATAATCATGGCGATAATTATTATAGGTCACGCTCGCGGGCCGCGTTAATAGCTCGAGAGAGCTTTCCATCTTTTATAGTGGTCCAAGTTAGAAGTGGAAAGAGTTTATCAAAAATAACAGCTTATAAAGATATACAAATAGGTTTATAGAGCGGTCTTTAAGAGGATTTAAAAAAAAATATTATTTAGCCCGTGTCTCAGCAATGCAACAACACTTACTAAAAAACACGACTGCCAAAATAAAAATAAAAGAAACTAAGTGTATTAATGCTTCGCTACCGTTCTGTGGAACATTTGTAATCTGAGTGGTTTAAAATTATAAATTTTCAATACGAACTATATTATTTTGGATTGTATCATTTACTCTCATTAAGACTTTTAATTCGATACCCATATATTGCTATAAATAAAGAAATATTTGTTTTTCATATTTTTTTAAATAGCCTCCTAAATCCGCCATATTTTACATGCTTATAAATACAGTCATGCGGAATGATGATTTTAAATGTTACATAATTCCACATGACTATATTAATTAAGATACAACACATCAAATGATATCCTATACATTTTATACATTCATTTTATATCCGTTAATACTTTCAAAAGTGACGGTAGCATAAAGAAACTCCCATACTCTCGTATGTCCGATTACCACAATATGTCCAATTAAATTAGTTAATTTTAAACTCTATTCACAAAACATTAAAGTCGAGTGGAGAAAATAAATAGATTTATATATACTGACATGCTGTCGACTGTCATACATTAAACCTAAACACAATAAACTTCTTTTTATTTTAGGGTAGTAGTGTAAAAATGAAGGAACGTTTATCATTATTTCAGCTTTTACCCACGCTAGTAATTCGTCCTCTTCTTCTGCCTCGCCATTTTCTGTTAAGCAAGCACGGCTTTTTTATCTTAAGGCGCCACTCATATGGCTGGATTCATAAGTTGTCAATATTTGTCAGGCAACTAGACAATCCCTCTTACTCTGACTCTCCACATTTATATTTTGACGATCGTAATCATCGTAGAGTAATCCACATTTGGATTGGACTTTTCGTTTCTATCGGCTTGTGTCCATCGCATCTCTTACGTTTTTGTGGAACTTGGCGGAAGATTTATTTGATCTGTCCATCGGGTTGGTGATTGGTCTCATGAACGACTGCCTTCTGTGTTGCCAACTATGACAAGCTCCTCCAGGCTCTTGGCATTAATTTGTTTGTTTTACACTTTCAAAACACTTTCAAAGTACTTTGACAACATAAATATTTATATAACAATAGAGGGTGAGATGTCTTTCCAATCAACCAAACTGTAGGCCGTAGACGAAAATTTATACAAAATTTTGGTTTTACAGATTAAGTTTATGCTTTGAACTATACATATTACAACACGAAACTTTAAAATGACGACTTGAAGGAAACTTCAACTGAATTGGTGAGAAGACTCTAACGACGGATCTAGATATAACTAGACACGTCACGGGGTGGGCTCACGTAGGAGAGTTCCACACACCCCCTGTCGCTTGCCGGGCGGCAGGGGTAGTGCCTAATGCATTTCCTCGACGTTAAAAAAAATAAAAAAGGCATAACTTTACATAAGGGTTGATTATATGATTACGTATAACACGTAATAAGATATAATCAACCCTTTTTTCAATCGCCCCATCCTTTTCTGGTCATTCAGAGTGCAATGGTATGCCGTGGAATCCTCATTACAATAGACAACACGGTACAATAGACAATCGGCAATTTTTTCTATTATCTGAATGACGGACTAAGTAGAATTTCTTTCCCAGTCACCATCCCTATTGCATCTCACTGTACCAGATGCAGCCTAACCCTAATTACTCAATACTAAACATAGTAGACAATTAGAGCAATTCCAGTAATGGTCTCGTTAGTTCCGTTTAAATTTTATATGTATTACTTACCTTGATTTTTCCTCAAAGAAATTATACTAGGGCCGGCATTAAAATGTGAAAAAGAGCATTATCGTGATATCTTATATTGCGATCTTTGCATTTACTGTACTGTGAGTTTTAAAGCCTTATTTTGCAATAGTGCACGCCATTGGCATTTCTAGCGGGAAATAAGTAACATGGTATGTTTTAGATTTTCATAGATAATTCTTTAACTGGAAAGTACAAGGTCAACAGTTTAAACTATTTGGAAACACTGGTGCCTTGTTCTCAATACCATAATGGTAAAGAAAATGAGGCATAAATCGGTACTCGTATAGGTAATAATTTATTTAATACTTACTTTTCGCCAACGGCTTCGCCCGCGAAGTCCCTAGAGAACTGTTTACTTGTATCATCATTTCAACCGAGAGACGCCCACTGCTGGGCATAGGCCTCCCCCAAAGATCTCCAATGTGATCGGTTCTACGTCTCCCACATCCAGCGGCTTCCCGCGACCTTCACCAAATCGTCACAACACATTCCAAGACACAATAATTAAAATTTATAATAAAGACATTATACTGCAAACATGTTTTACGATTGTTTATATAAATGGTTATTTAAATGAATGTTAATGATTACATTTGTATCTAGTTGGTGTCGCTAGATGTATGTTTGTTTATATTTAAAATTATTTTCAGCAATATTAACTATTTAATGCGTTTTCTTGGTATTTCTCGATGATTGCTATTAAACTCAATAATGTTACTTAAAATGTATAACAGTATATAGGAGCTCGATGGCGAAGTGGTTAGCGCGTGGATAGGAAGTTAAATCACTTTCATAAAGGCCGGTCGCAGACTGAGTTACCAAAAAATTACTATCTCGAGTCCCATATATGTATGCCCGGAAGGCATATTATATCGTTTGTTTCAGCTGCATCTGCAGTCGTTAAGACCCACTAATCCGCACTGAGCAGTAAATGAGCAAGTAAACGAGCAAAAAAAAGTGTTCTTTTTGAGCCCCCTTAAATATTTATTTTATTCTGTTTATTAGTATTTATTGTTGAAGCGGCAATAGAAATACAAATATGTCCAAGAGATAAAGCCTGGTGGCAGACGCATAGACAGTCAGAACGGTCGTATGGATAGCGGAGTCTTAGCATTAGGGTCCCGTTTTTTACCAATTGGGTACGGTCCTCTAAAAACAACTGTTTACGACTATTTTTTGAATACGGATTACTGATAGTTAACTCGAAAATACTATGTTAAGTATTATTAAGTTTTAGTAAAAAAAAATAACTTTGTACTTCTTTGATATTTCAGACCACCGGCATGACACCGCTTATGTATGCGGTTAAGGACAACAGGACATCCTTCGTGGAGCGACTCATAGACCTCGGATCAGATGTCGGTGCCAGAAATAATGTGAGTACAAACAACGCTTTGGTTAAGGCAAATGTTGACATCGATTTCTTTAATACTTCATTAAGCCAACTTAAAGGCTTTTAAGTAGACAAAATTTTTTGATAAGTGAATTGGTCCTTTTTTTTCTCGAGCTATAAGTAATCATAAAATAATGAAATATAAAGTAAAATAAATTAATGCTTAATCTTAAATGTAGGTCATACTATAATTTTAATTTTGTTGCTTTTAGATGTCGTCTGTTTTTTCTATTGTTTAATTCTTACCTTCATTATAGATATAATAAATATTTTATAGTATTACCTAGCTGTAAATTTTCCGAAGATATTGAAAGTGAAATAAAATAAAATAAATAAACATGTGTTTTGTTCCTAAATGTGCTTTGTTGCAGAATGAAGTAAAAAATCATGTTTACATATTTTTAACCATCCAAAATGTTGATCGGTACAACTTCTACGAATGAAAATGCCAATAGATTAGTAAGTCTAATGCTGAAGCACAATTGGTGAACGAATTGCGTAACTTTAGACATTATCTTGCAGTTACCAGTAATAAGTTCGTATATAAAATTGCAATTGGATAATCGATACTCCAGCCACTATTAGACACATATTTTTAATTAAAAATAATAATGTCATCGTAAGCTAAATATACCATACGAAAAAAAAATATGTTGACGTTTTCCTCACGAATCCGGCGAACTAGAGATGAAAAGGTTTGTGAATTTTAGTAATTATATAATACATAAAATCATAACACAAGTACATGAAGGCACACCGTGGTACAATGTGAAACCGAATTCTATAATACGATGGGCAACCAGTTTCTAAACTGAATTAGATTAATCAACATTTGATTTTGGATACAACAAAATGCTGATGAAATTTAAGATAGTTATGTATGTAGTATAATGTAATAATACACTTAAACAACATTAAAAATCAATTGAATCTCAATAGGTATAAGTACAATAAAATCATTATATTAGAGACATGTATGTCAAAGCCACGACAACGCTATAAATAAGAAAAATCTCAGCGATACACGACTCCATCCATCCAAAATTACCACTCAACACATAAAATGACTGTATAAGTTACTGAAAAAAAAAAAAGCCGTTTATTAAAAAAATAATACCTACGATGACGCTAAGGTCTCAGAAAAGTAGAGCAAGAAGTAATTTCCCGTACTACGTGTGTAAATTAAGGTGAAATTCCAGTGTAAGCGAAAAAGTTAAGCTTAGCTTTTGAAATTATTTTGATAACCAATAAACACATTTATTATCAAAGTCGAATGAATCCTGAAATTCAAAAACGATGAAAATCCTCACTAAATTACTTTATCTTATTACTTCACTCGCTCACGCTTATAACTCTAAAATTATTTACTACTTCTAACATAAACGTTTTTATTGCTTGAAAATAATATTTCAGTCAAAACTTCGATTTTATTTCCAAAGATGTTGGCTTAGAGATATCTTATCATTTCCTCTCTCTATTTGGATACCTGACCTTATGTTAAGTTATGGGTGGCCCACTGGCTAACCCAGATCGCCGATAAGTCACGATTTATGCCTATAACGTTATATACACCCAATGTTCGAAGTTACCTGGAGAACTGTACCATGCAATGACACTTTTATTACTTTTATACATATTATCACGCTACGAGGGAACTTAAAGATGCAAAACAAAATTACAAATCAGTCCATGTTTGAATCTTGTTAAGGCTGAATTAATCTATCAAAGAAACGCTGATTTTCAAAATATACTCTATTTTTACTGTTACTTTTATTAAATTGTAAGATTTTTCAATAAATAACAAGACAGATAGGAAGGCCGGCTCGAAATATTTCAGCATTATATAGACATTTATATAACTTACAGAATTAGTTTGTAAGTGTGGATTAAATCTTGCAAACTATGATCAACCCCCTTTGCGCTGTTTGTTTTAGCTGAAATTTTCCATGCACGTTTAACTTAGATGACAATGCAGTTGATATAGAACGGAACTAATCTGATGATGAAGCCAGAAGGAATAAGAGCTCTATAATAAACGAAGACTACTCATAGAATATAGGTATATAGAATATTATCTATACCAGCCAGATCTCAGTCTTAAAATAATATAAAAGCTTAAAGCTTGTTTTAAAATAGGAGATTTTAATTTTCAATAATTTATTTGAATTTAAAATTATATAAGCTGTGAATTATAAATAAAACATTTCTCTAATTAAAAGTAAACAAATGTAGTTACGAGTATACAAGCTGTGTCTGTATCCGAAACTCTGAGTGGTAGAAAATTAAGAATATCGCCATGTGGACATAAGACCTTATTGTTACTTACCTGAGGAATATGAAAATTTTTATCAATGTCACCGCTGAAGGCGAATAAAATGCGTCATTTTCGTGGGTCATTCATATAAACACAGTCATCGAAAGATATCAGAGTATTTCATTGGACTGAGTAACTACTTGCTGACTTATCGAATCACCACCATGCCTTACTCACTTAGAAGTTGAGTCATTTACAACTTTGCTATTACAAATGTGACGCCATTTCAGAGGTCAGCTTACCAATTTATAGTATTTTTGACACGCCATCTAAAAATTAGCTAGTGATTTTACGCAATTTGTAATGAACTTTACAACTTGTGCTAACAAACTGTTTATTCGTCAATAAAAATTACCTACTGAATTTCCAAAAGTTGCTTTTTCAAAAGTTTTTTTTAGTGTAAGCGTTCACAAAAAAAGAGTTGTTGTTTCTAAAGTACAATTTATATGTCAGGCTTGGTAATACGGCACTAATATCATTAATTTAATTAGTTATTCGATTTACAATATTACCATTGATTCTCATTTAGATAAGCTGATGCTGTCTTAAGACGACCACTGTTTTCTGAAAGCTCGAGTTAGTAATTGAAACTTTACTTTAACGTCGTATTAATGTGGTTTTAAACAAAACTGTAGGCTGAATCGTAAAATATAAATTAAACATGTTTTTTTAACAAGAGATATTTTACCTTTTTTTATAATACCTTTGCGGATAACAATATGGGATGATTGGAAATGAGTTCCTCTAAGATCTTTTGAAATGGTCCGGACTAAAATCCAATAACTAGTCTCATAAGAGTGGATATTATTCCACTGAAAACCATATAGAATAAGTTTAAATGTCAGTTTTTGCTATTGGCTATTGAGGATCAACAAAAGACCGTGGCTCATGATGTGTTACTGTCATTATATTGTTAATCCATGATAGAACCACTAAAAAATTTAATATAAGTATTATTATTTCTTGGTTTCTTATTATTCAAATCCTTATGAACATAAGATATAATAAGATACTAGCTTTGAGTTTGCGACTTCATCCGAATGGTATTAGTATTACCATAGCGTATTTCTTTGCTGAGAAGTTTCATCATTTTTAAATATAAATAAACCTGAATTATTTTCTTATACTCGTACCTAATATTTAACTTTAACGAAAGAGAACGTGTGTAAATTAATTATTATCTATACAATTTTTACGCCATTTCATTTTTTTAGAGACTTTATACTAATTTCATCTTAATTTGTTCAAAAAGTGACGTAAGTAGAGTTAATTTTATATTTATTATGTAAAGCGATTCACGCATGCAGCGTCTTGACGCGGTGGCGTGGCACGTCGGTAGCATGATCGTACAAACTCGTATAGGTAGATCACGCGATGTTGACCCTTGCAAGCACATGAGAGAGGGTGGATACAGAATAGTATTGTTTGATATCTTTTCATTAAGACAGGAGAGGGTTGTTTACAGTTGTTATTAGAGTCTAATAGAGTAGCATAGTAACATAACAGAATTTATTCTGATTTTTAGTTCAATAACTCATTAGTATTCATTATAGGATTGGATTCTGGAGAGGTTTTTTATCCTGGAATCAAGCGAAACCTATAAGTATGTTTTACATAGTATGTTATATAAGTATGTTATACGTAGTAATAGTACTTACGAGTACGTTCTACGAATACGAATTAACCTGATACCGAAGGCCTTGTTCTTCTAGTCCTTCTTTCTTTTCCTTCTTCTCTTAGTTAACGAACGATTATTCGTAAAATTTTCAAATTGTTCTTATGCATGAAACATAGGTAGTTTCAGGTCCTACCTCCATTGCACCATAAATTATCGAAAAATGCGTTCCTTTGGAGTCATCTATCAGAATTACGAAAAAGGAAAAAAAATCATTTCCGGAGAAACAAACTAGGAATTCAGGTGTCATGTTAATTCTCACGAGTAGTGAAATAAAATTTGAGGATACCATATCTTCAAATTTTATGTAAAATATCACAATTTTCATATTTACTGTTTTCGTTATACAAATAATTTTCTGCAAAGAAAGATTGCTGCAAAGCTATAAGCTCGTCTTTTGTATACAGGTTTTGATGATTCTTTTGTAATGTGTCCTGAGTGCAATAAATATTATTATTATGTGGAGGAATCTAAGAGAAAACCAGAGACTAAGCTATGTATTTTATTATTATTTAATTTGCTAATTTTGTTGCAGGACAATTATAATGTATTACACATATCAGCAATGTACGCCCGCGAGGATGTCGTCAAGCTGTTGCTATCCAAGAGGGGAGTCGACCCGTTTGCCACAGGAGGGGTAAGACCTCTTTTTTCCTTTCCGTAGAAAGACATTTACGTATTGATTCATGAAACGTAATATTGGCTAGGTTTACTATAAAAGAAATTCTGCATTTAGAGCACCAATGTGGAACCTGATGCGGAGTTCCACATTTCGTTCTTCTAATCAAGCCACTCTTAGGTTTAGTGATTCAGTCTTGCCAAGCTTACACCCTCTCTTTGCGTTTGGCTTCTCACCTAGGTAGATCTTAGTGCCGAAAGCCCTGATATGAGGCATAAAATGCATTTTCTCTGCGTTAGTAAAATAGGCTGTCAAAGAGCAACGTAAGAGCCAAAAACTCCACCAGTATGCAAACCTATTGCGTGTGAACGTGTAAACTAGTTTAGTTTTGATCCCCGTTTTGTTTCAGAGTCATAAAGAGAAATGGTTTTAAGAGTATATCATTTTCTACAACAATAGTTTTTTTGAAAGTTATCAACTATACCTGGGAGGCCTTGAAGGGGCGCTAAAAATAAAAGAATTTATCAAGTTATCTAAAAGCCTATGAAAGTCCGTGTCGACTTACAAATGGAAAAAGTTGGAGGTTGCTAGTTTGTACAGACTTATTTAGATAACAACTACCTGAGGTCACGCATAGTTTTATTTAATCGCATTAAATATTATCCAACGTCTTTCTTTTACTGCATTAATTTTTGATAAAATAGTTATTGAATATATGTGACGTTATTAGCTAAAATTAATTTGGAGCTTCTGGATTAGAAATATAATTATCTACCTAATAAGGCCGACCGTTTTTGACATCTGTAGTACTAAAAAGTCAATTAAAATACGTATTATGATATTTCTGCATCAATTGATACAGTAAGGACGAAAGTTGTAAAATTTACTACATATTATCAGAGCGATTTACAGATTCCTTGTTTATTAGACAGGTATTGACGTTAGCAACAATTTAATTAAAAAAAAAGGATAGGGTTTTCAACTATTATTAAAGGAATTGTTTGGAAAAAAATCAAATAAAATCACAGTCACAAGCTTAAGCAATAAAACTGAAATATAAATACTTGAATTTGTAACTCTAAAACTAGCTCTTTCACGCGATTGTAACTTATATAAGTGTGGAATTTATATAAATTATTTTGTGTTATCACATAATGACATTAAAAATTAAATGACACATTAAAATCATGTTTTTTAAAGAGAAAAATATGAAAATCATTTTGTGGCTAACAGTGAATATGTGTGATTTCACAATTATCGTAATGGTTTGCGTGTAATTAATTAAAAAATACTTTGGCGCTCCTTGTTCCACATAAATCACCATTGTCTGTTTCCTATCATAATAGTGGAGCGCTGTAAAATATAAACATATAAAAGACTTTAGAAACCTGGTTACATATAATGTATTTTTCTAAAACCATTTTAATTGCTTAGTTAAATGTTTCAACAAAAAAGCCTTATCTACCTATCTAGATTTTCCGATACCTATTCAAACAATTTAAAAATATTCGGAGATGTAAATAGTGAATTAGTGAGGAAGATGTCAATTAAGTATATAAAAGTCAAGATGTTTTCCTGCGACATCGCCCACGCCAATTACACTTATGTCACCCGTGTGTAATGTACCTTCCATAGGTGAAAGAATTTTTAAAATCAGTTCAAAAGTTTCAGAGCTCATTCGTTGCAAACAAACCAACCAGACAGTAAAATTTTTCCCCTTTATAAAGTTATTATAAATAAAGCAATTTTATTATTATTATATTTGATCAATTTTGAACTTACAATGCCACCCTGGAAAATATTTTTAATAAAAAATGCTTAAAATATCCACCGGGCCCAGGTACTATGAGATTTGACAAGAACGCACCACCTTTTGCAATCCAGGTGACTGATCTGACTACTGAGCTACCCAGGACCTAACAGGACTGACTGTTACTTTTCGCTACTGGTGAGAGTATTATCATCAATGTTCAGGCAATCCACCCAAATAGTGGAAAGAAGCCGAAAGGTCGTAAGTTCCAGTCTCATCACAGAATACCTAGGGCCGGTGGATATTTTAAGTATTTTTCATTAAGAAAAATTCAATTATTGAAATAAAAAACAAATATTTGATAATTTGACGAAGCACTTTAAGAAATTGCATCTTAAAAACACATCTTTCGAATCATTCTTGGTATAGTACATGAATGGCTAAATCATTTTTTTAAATAAATAGTTGGGAAACTTGGCACTTTTTCACTTTGCACGGTAAATCTTTTGAACAGAGGTCCTACATTGTTTGAATTTGTGCAGATCATCAGCAAAGCTTAATTCTTATTGCAGCAGCTCAAGGATTAAAAACTACTGCTAAAAAATCCAGTTTTCTATAAACTGATATTCTGTTAACTCTACCCTAAGCTCAGTCCTAGGTAAATAACCTCATTATTCAATAAAATCTATTAATAGTAACTCAAAGTACAGACAACGAGTATTAAGACAAGGTTTAATATACATTGTACATTTTATCTTATACCACGACCATCCTTGGCCTATTATAATTGCAATATTGTTCATATTTTATTGGACTAAATATTCTTACTATTTGCTTTTGGAGCACAACCGAGCTCATTATAGTTTTAGGTCTCTCAGTGAAAAGTTGAATTTTCATTAAATAATCAGTTCTTGTTAGAACGAGATAAATGAGAGTAAAATACTTCATTAAGAATTATACTAATTAGAAGGTTTAATTAATTATAAATAGTGAGATATATCAAATCAAGTGATTTAGAAAGATGACTGATGCGCACCGCGAAAGTGTAAATAAATTACTTAAGGCGTTTGAAATGGAAGATGTACTTATGGTTAGATTTCATTGTTTTTTTTACAATTGTTTAACTCGACCAGAAGTTGCTAATGGTGCCGAACATGGTGCGAGAACCGAACGAGGCTGACGAAACGAATTATCTCTAAAAGTTGCAAATCAATGACAGGTGATCTTAGAATTCTGACAATTCGCTGCGTACATGTGTGCGATGGTGTGTGAGTTTTAAAGAACTCGAAAATTCTTCGTGTTCTATTCTGATAGATATATAATCGACAAGTATCAAAGGCTCTATCTACGTCTCATGTAGGATATTTGTGAACTGTTTTCGGTTTTCTGAGGATCCTTTCATAAATTTTGGAACCGAAAGAAACTATTTCACTGAATATTTTTCTGTGTAGAGTCGGCAACAGACTGCAGTCCACCTGGTGGCGAGCCGACAGACAGGTACCGCCACCAGTATCCTCAGGGCGTTGCTGACAGCAGCCGGGAAGGACATCAGACTACGTGTCGATGGCGTAAGTCACTATATATAATTTTATAATCTCTGTAGCTAATTTCCATACACGTCGGAAATTGGCTATGGTTACAGCAATTTCAATTCCCAGTTGAGCGGAGAAAAATATATTGCCTCAGGTCTGGATAGTAAGTTTTTATTTCCATAATACGTTAGACGTCTTGTGATGAGAATACGTGAATATATGGAACAGCTGAAGTTGCTTTTCCACCAAAAGAATCCAAAAACTACAATTTCCTTAATGTGTTTTTCATCTAGAGATTAGATTTAGAGAATTCTTAGAGATTTTCAGAGTTTTGTATAACCTGACATGTTGATTGACTTGACATTGACTCGTTCGAGAATCAAAGCTGTGGACTGATACCCAAAAACATTTATACTCATTAAATCCATCACTGTTTATATTTATTTAGGTATGCCTTTCAACATCAACAATTCAACATCCTTCGAAATGTAATTGGACCAACTTTGGCTGGCTTTCTAACGGCACTAAAATATAAATTTGCTAGCATGTTGAAACTTTATTGCCAATTTAAAGAAATAAAAATAGACAAAGTTTAAGAGACGACCTCATTGCTCAGCGTCTTTAGCAAATAATCAATTTTGAAGATTAAAGAAGTTTTGGCAGTATGTCTTGAAGCCTTTATTTTAGAAAGCCTAGAATTTATGAATTTTCGATGAGCTACTATTTTAAAAATAGAATGAACAAATCCAACCAGTACTTATAAAATAAGCAAAGGCCGGGCGATTACTGCAATAAATTGAAAAAGCTCTACAACAATACAGATAAGAAAACACGGCCTTAAAAACATTTATAGGACGTCACGCTATTTTTAGAACTTATAAAACAAGACTTTCGTCATAAAAAGAATAATTAAGTCTAAAGAATGTGCGTAAACTCTTTCTGCCTATCACAAAATATCAAAACTATTTATAAATGAGTACCTATATACCAGATACTGATTAGATTATTTATGAAAATTGTAAAACAGAAATATATACAAATACTTTCGATCAATCGCGTGAACTGTTACAGTTTCACATTTATGACGCTGTTACTGGGATTGAATTGGTCGTCATAGTAATTTGACTGTGAACAGACAGAGATGCAGGCACGGGTGCGATCGCGTGCAGCGCCACTGCTCACTAGCCTGGTACCGCCATCCGCAGGCCCTATGAACCCCCGAAAACACAACCTGTAAACAAAGCACGCCCCCTGAAACAAAACTTCAAAAGAATCACCGGAGGGCCAGCCTAAACTTTACAACAAATCTTTCACGCAACTCGTTAGCCGACGATGCTACCTCCTCACGCACCTAAATGACAACCACTAATTAAACGATCATTCCTTAAAACACCAAAAATACATTACCCAAGGTTGAATAGCATTATTTTCAGGACATTCCTCGCCAAGCCAGCCCCATGTGAATAGAAACTGGCTAATTATCCACCGAGCTTTACCCGCGAAGTAAACGTCACAGCGCGAATTTACAATGCAAATCACTCGCGGAATATTAGTTATAACGTCAGCGGTGAAATTCAAAATTAGTAATTTTAATACAATAAGTCTCAGTCGCTCCTTCGTCACGACTAGAGTAAGGCAACTTTGCCATGTCCGACGTAAGCTTTGTGCTAAATTGACTCCAATGGATGAGCAAGTACGTATTTATGATCGGTGGTTTATAAAGATTGCGGGCTGACAAATTTCAATACAATCGCTTTGGAATTCAGTGCGAAGCACGTTATAGAATCGATTTTGCATTCCGTCGAATAGCAAAGGTAGATTGCGATGCACATAAGTCGGCGTGAAACGTCTGTGGTGTCACTGTTTCAATTGTTTCGTGCAGTTGTATACCGCAACTAGCGTGAATTGTTAGTGCAAAAACACTGCATCGTATGAAGTTAAATGCAGGCAGGTGATAAACGATCGAAGGATTGGCAATGTCCGATGGTGGGAGGGACGTACCGCGAAGTGGGAATTTGAATTTACGTTCAGGAGTGCGTAGTCCGCCGGCGAACTTACAGCCGAAGGATCTACAGAAGCTCGAGCTTAGCTTCATAGAGCTAAACAAGGAACGCGCAAAACAAAAGGAATGGAAAAAGTTAATTCGCGACATGGTGTTCCAGAGAGGGAAGATACCGCTGCTGCTGGCGGTGGAGGCCGGCAACCAGAGCATGGTCCGCGAGCTTCTCAGCGCGCAAACTGCCGAACAGCTCAAGGTAAATTGGACATTGATATAATTCATTATAAACTTAACTATATGTTAGCGTTTTCCAGTTCTCTAGTATTTTTTGGACTCTTGCTTTCATTTAGTATACTGCGATAAACAATACCTTTTCTGTTAAGTACATGTTAGTGTTTTCCAGTTTTTTAGTACTTAGATATATTGCGCTAATAATGAGTGATTTTTTTTTCAAAGGACAATACTCACAATGTATGGGACAAAAAACGTAAGGTTACTCATATTAAAGGAATATTTATTTACTCATATCAATGAGTAAATAAATATTCCATAGGGGGCATCATCAAAATCAATGACTTAATATATATTTTTATTGCCATTTAAAAGGAGCATAAATAGTTAGAGAACTTGCACTTGGAAGTGTATATTATTACAAACACAATGTAGTCATTAAAATTATGGTAAAGAAAAGCGAAACAAAACTATGGTTTATTTTATTTTTTTATGGATTTTCAATGTCTACAATTAAATCATCCAAAAATGAAGCAGGGGATTGAAACATTCTTAAGGTCTAGCCTATTCCAAGTAATACAATACGCTCATGACATAGTCACAAATAACCCAATGCTGGCATCTCTTGAATACTAGAACAATAATAATCACATATGGCATTCTGCCGTTTTCTCTTTTATAAAGAACGCAACTGTAATAAATACATACTACTTCTCAGCGATACCTTATGAGGGCACAGATTTTTTAGAAAATGTGTTCCAGTTCATAGACACCTGTTCGTTTTACATGCTCACTGCAATAAGAGCGAGCGATTTTTAAATGATATGTGCCAACTGTAATCAAAATTAAATCTTCATGAATTTCATTTCATCAAAAGCTACTGATAGATAGTGAATAAACTGAACAAGACTAGCCAATACGAACACAGACTATATAGAGATATACGAGAGAGTGAGAGAGAGTTTTGTGCAAGGTATCGTTTTCCATAATGCTTCTTTTATTAGTAAATTGAATACTGACCCCAGTCAAAAGTCGAATAGCAATATCACATAATAGCGATAGCCCCCTATGCAGTATTTACTTACCTTTAATATGAATGACATTTATTTTGTGCCAGCCGGGGCTTATTTCAGCATTGTCCTTTATTGTGATAGATTTATAATATAAAGTGACGATCCACGTCTTAACCAGGCATGCACACCAGCCGGCGATACAGCTCTTCATTTAGCAGCTCGACGTCGAGATGTGGACATGGCCCGTATATTGGTAGACTACGGAGCGGCAGTGGATGCGGTCAATGGTGCAGGTCAAACGGCTCTGCACATAGCAGCTGCTGAAGGCGATGAACCTTTAGTCAAATACTTCTATGGCGTAAGAGCAAATGCTGGTATAGCTGATAATGAAGGTAAGATTAACAAAGATGATTTTTCCACAATTAATATTTCCGAATGCAAAGAACAGCAAAATGTTACTGCATATAATGAATACTTCGAAGTCGAATGGAGAATTTATTATATAGTATTTTCAATTTCAATTGCTTATAAATAATAAGTTAGACATCATAATAAGACACACACTCTATTCATATTAGTTCGTCTCTCTTATTATGTACTAATTTCACACGTTTTATTTTCGCTTTAGATCGAACACCAATGCATTTGGCTGCCGAAAATGGTCACGCAGGCATCATAGAACTATTAGCCGACAAATTCAAAGCCTCTATCTTCGAGCGGACTAAAGATGGAAGTACCCTCATGCATATCGCGTCACTTAATGGCCACGCCGATTGTGCTATGATGCTCTTCAAGAAAGGGGTGTATCTTCACATGCCTAATAAGGTTAGTTATTAATAGAAACACTTCATACGTTACACATATATGCAATAATGCCTTTAAAATTCTACTAAAGCTTCCACAATCTCGTAATACAGTTAAAAGCCGCAATTGTTCTTTAGAGCAGAAAAACTATTAATATTTACGTAAAAAGTTGTTACTTCCATATTAATCTACTTGTAGTTACCGTTTTTGTTACCATGGATGTTAATTTCTATTTCTTTTCAAAAATATAAGAAAAAAATCTCCCTTGAAAAACAATTTAGATTTTGCTGGTTACTATCTAGCAAACACATCTACACTCGTAGCGCCGATATGTATTTACTATTGTTATTATGTAGGCAAACGTTGATTTGTCCTTCTGTTCACGGAGAAATGGTAAACTTGCTTAGAAGACCTTGGAACTGAGGAAATGAAACCATATTTTTTATGACACCCTCATGTAAAGTCACTACGCCTAAAACAAAATAATGAAATTGTGACTGAATAATTTATGGTAATGTAAATACGTATTAAGGTTGCTGTAAATTAATTTACTTACCTACTTCATATACCAAAACAGTGTTTTACGTTATTTAACTATACTGTTTATACTTGTGTTGGGAAATAACCTAGGCTTTGCATTATAGAAACGATAACGGAATTTTGCGCATGTATGTGAGAATAATTAAAGGCTTACAAAGTCTAGATCATTTTGTGTAAAAAACAATATTTGGATACTTTTATGGTTAATATCGATAATTTCTTAGCTTCGCAGTTATTATGAGTCTCGTTCAAGATAAAATCTTCAATACTAAATCACGATGATACTCGTAAATTAACATTCGTATGATGCAATTTTTGTCATACATCGTTGTTTCCCGCGGCTTTGCTTTAAGCCTATGTTTGCCACGTATGATGTGTTTTTTTTTAATCAGTGCAGCAGTTTTAGTCTATTCAATGCAAACAAACAATCAAATCTTTAAAGTATTAGTAAAGATATAGGTAAATAACGCTTGGAGCTTTCTAATAAAAGATTCATTATCAACAAAAGTACTGGTGAAGAAAGTAATCTCCAAGATTAGTATCACGGCAGTTAACACAAAAGTAATAAAAAAGTGGGAACTACAAAAACCAATCCCTAATTCAAATATTTCAGGATGGCGCTAGAAGTATCCACACAGCAGCCCGGTATGGTCACGTGGGAATCATCAACACTTTGCTACAGAAAGGAGAAAGTGTCGACGTTACTACCAATGTATGTACACTATATACTCAAGATATATATACTCATAACTTAATATTAGTTAAGAATTTAACAAACTTAAACTGGATCGCACCATAAGAGCAATTAAAGTTAAGGTTTATATCTTGACAATAACTGTAAAGTTGACTTTAACATTGACTGTGGAATGCGTTTCACCATCCTCTTCCTCGAAATATTAATACAATAACTTATAAACAGTTAAAGTTATGACGTTTCTGACCATTGCCAAATAATGTAAATCATTATTATTTTAGCTGGTACTTTAACATGTTTGTTATTGTTAAAGTAGTTCGGAAAACAACTACTATAATATCGAGCCTTTACCGCCAAATTATCGTAAGCGACACTTTTGTCGAAAATGCTTTTTTCATTTTAAGTAGTATTTGAAACCCTAACGGACCTATCCCTGTTGACGTTTTCCGCCAAAATTTAACCGTTATAAAGTTATAGCAAGTGCTAAAATTATCGTAAATACATGTATTTTTAAAGCCATAACGTAAGCAACAACAAGCATTTTTATCGTAAGTGCCTTGCGATCAATTTTTTGTAGCGCAAGTGACACTACTTGTTATCGTAACCGACGTAGGCTTACGACTATGAGGCGTTTACTACAAACAAACCTGTAGTGACATGTTTATATCCGAAAGTAATTATGATACGACAAACATCGTTCTCGTTGAATTGTAGCTAAAAAAAACAGTTTCAGCCATAAAAACGTTTTAAATTGTATCAGTTATTGTTTCCTTATTGTGTTTTAAATATAGTACAGATAGTTAGCTCGAAAACATCAAATAAAACAGCAATGTCGAATCCTGCAGCTAAGGTATGTATTGTGTTTTAATTTTGGTAATTGAATTGGGGAAATCTTCAATACTAGAACGATCTTGTTCCATGTACTATTCTTCCATTTAACCATTAGAAAACTACTTCACACCTGGGTTCATCAGGGATAATATGGATACTTTTTATCCGATATTGCCATGAAAAATTTTTATTAACCAAAGCAAGGCGAGGGCGCACCATTGGTATAAAATAAGCAGTCATAGTAGGTTACTGCCTACGTTAGTCGTCCATTAATGATTTATTTATTATTCTGTGATTCTTTTTAAGTTATTATTTGTTTTTTATAGTCACGAATGAAGAAAATTATGCAGTTAATATCACCACTTCCCATATCAGAAGATAGTAATTCTGGAACTGCTTTTCCCGAGAACATACAGCAAGATACAGAGGCCCCAGCTTTAGATCAAATCTCACCAACAGACAGCTACAGCGATATTGACATGGACCCAATAATAACTGATACGACATCACCTTCGTTGATCGATTATATTTGTGATACCGATTTAAATTCTGAGCTCAATACTAACTCATTATTAACACTATTACCTCAAACTAAACTTGTCGAATACAGTGATTCAGACACTGAGAATACTTACACTTTACTGGATTTAGATAACCAGAACATAAAGGACTTAACTTATGATTCTACTTTGCCAGCTTTCATTGATCAACTGATACAGCCGAGGACCAGTTCACTGTTTGACCAACCAGAACAAAATATGTCCAAGAATTTGGAGACCCACGACAGCATTGCCTGTATTGATAGCGAAGATTCATGGAAGCCTGCCTCATCGTCCAGTGATTCGGATGACGATAAGTCCGTTCAAACAATAGAAGAAGAAACAAGTGTTGGTAAAAAAGGATATAGGAAAATAAAACCTTTACCAAAACGACTTTTAGCAAAAAAAAATCGTAACGCTGCTGTAGGGAAATCTGTGCAATCAAACCCTTGTATGAATAAAAAATGTGGTAACTCATGTGCAAATAAATTTACAGAAGATGATCGCAATAATATTTTTGAAAACTATTGGGGATTAGGTTGTGATAAAAGACAAAAAGATTTCCTGCTGTCATGTGCTAAAGAAAAACCGATTGGAAGAAAAAGATCCAGTAGTAATATCCGTAAAATATCATACGATTATTTTATCAGCTACAATGGACAGAAAGTTAAAGTATGTCAACAATTTTTGCTTAAGACCCTAAACATATCCCAAATGTCTATGAGATATACCATCGAAAATGCCAATAAAACTCTGAATACCACTCGCGATGGCAGAAGAACTAGTCGTCCTCATAATAAATCTGATGAGGTAGAAGTCGCACAGTTAAAATTATTTATTGAGATGTTGCCTGCTGTTCCATCCCATTATTGTCGCAATAAAAGCACTAAAGTATATTTACCTCAAGAATTTCAAAATATATCGTTTTTGTATTTACAGTATGTTAATTACGTAAAAGAAAATAATCCAGAATCATCAGTATTATCAAAAAGAGTATTTCGTAACATTTTTAAAAAGGATTTTAATATCGGATTCCATCTGCCAAAAAAAGATAAATGTGCTTTTTGTGAGAAGTGCAAAAATTTATCACCTGAACACAAAATTATTTTTGAACAAACACCTGAATATAAAAATCACATTCTAGATAAAGAAAAATGTAAGCAACTGTTTTTAGAAGACCAAAAAATGAGCAAATTAACTGATTCTAACTCCTTGTGCGTAAGTTTTGATTTAGAAAAAGTTCTGAATACTCCACACGGTAAAAGTGTTACCCTATACTATTCCAGGAAGTATGCATACTATAATGAAAGTATATACGAAAGTGGTACAAGGGAAGGTTACTGTTACCTGTGGGGTGAACGCGACGGAAAAAGGGGCTGTAATGAAATCGTTACAGTCCTTTTTAAATACTTGATTATGGTAGACCAAAGAGGTACCCATACAGAGATAAATTTATACTCCGATAGCTGTGCCGGGCAAAATAGGAATCGCGCAATGATATCCATGTTAATTCATTTCTTGAAAACCGCAATTACTATTACACGAATAAAGGTAACTTATCTTTTACCGGGACACACCATGATGCCTGTTGATTCTATTCATAGCACTATTGAAAATTTTGTGCGTAATAAAACAGTATGGGCTCCTTCTGAGTGGCCAACTATGATTACTAATGCTAGAAATAAGCCTAGAAACTACATTATAAATGTTTTAAACTACGGAGACTTCATGGATTGGAAGAATTTTTCGCAAGCTTTATTACCGGCTAAATTTAAAATTAATTTTAGTTCATTAAGGGCGGTGCAATTTCATAAAAATAATCCTATTATTAAATTTCAATACGGTTTTTTCGAAGATAGTGACAATTACGAAATAAACATGGATTTCATCATCAGATCAAGAGCAAACAAAGCTATTGTCGAAAAGGGGCCTACACCTTTATACGTCGAAGAGCTCAAACTTTCATCAGCTAAATACCAAGATTTACAGGATCTGTGTAACAAAAACTTGATTCCAAACAGATACCATCAAGAATATTTAAGTATGAAGCATGATGGAAACGTACGTGATGCTTTAGCTGAAACAGATGAGGATGAGGAGATTTAAAAATATTTAATTTTATTTTATATTAATACAATATCTCACTATTCCAAATAATTTATATAATTATTTAATGTTTGACACAGTGAAAAATATCATATCATTTAAAAAATATATATATCATTTAAACGAGAAGAAGATGATTTGATTTTAAATTAATAGTTTAAGTTTATAAATTGTGCTGATTGATCTCATTACTCCAATTGTTTAATAGAAATAAATTTTAATTTTCAATATTTTATAACTATTTCAATTAAACGCCTTTTAAATATCTATTTATTTATCAAAATATAATACTAATACAATAAACTGTATTAGTAATATTAATGGATATTTTTATCGTAAATGTCAAAACAACCTTAGATTATGACAGCAAAAATAAATTAAGCGACATAAATTGCTTAAATACTAAATATTTTTGTATATTTTTCCATCATATATGTTAATGTCTGAAAATCATTAATGTATGTAAAATTTCAATTTATTAGCACATTTCTTTTTAAAAATATTTAAAAAAAACCTTCTCCTGTAAAGTTTGTTTTTTGTCGGTTGCGCTAAAATGGCGGTAAAGGCTCGATATTATATTACAAAAACTGCCTCGAAGTACTGTTAAGCCAAAGAAGTTCAATTAAAAAAAAACGGACTTTAAAGGTAATGAAGGTTTTATTTCATAGAAGCTCTATGCCGTCAACGACATGTTCGAAGTTTGAAGTTCTTACAGACTAGAAAAGGGTCGATGCTCTCTGCACCCAGATTAGCATAGTAAAGATATTAAAATAAGGTTTGCCGCTGTTACACATTAGGCTCTACCGCGTAACTGACGTCTAGATAGATTAATCGCTACTATACATTATGTGAAGCAGGACTCTGCGACATTGTTTAAAAAACGCAGAGGGAAATGTTGTTCTATTCCATTATAATCGTGGCTAGAGTTGAAAATGAATAGGTCCTTCTTTGACCGGAAATTTTTACTGTAACCGAATTGACCGCGCGATTAGAACTCATAATTAAAATTATTAGTTTTATTAAAATCCTGATCAATACAATATTCATATTTGACATGACAGTAAGGCGCATCGATACTAATATCGAAACCGAAAGCGGAATATCTAGTTATTCTTTCTTGATGTTTTCAACATCCTTTAATTTCTGCGATAGTTGAAACATTTGGGGCCTGTTTACATCAATTTATATTACGTTACAAGCCTCCAAAAAGATCTCTAAAGCCAAATGAGAATTAAAGATTTATACAAGACTATTATCGACGAAGAGGATGACGAGGAATGGTGTGGGCATGGGAGCGAAAATAAACAGCTTATCTTCTCAAAACTATATTGTCCACAAAACAAATATACTCGCCAAAGCACGTGACAATCAATGAAAAGACCATATGTCAATCCAAAAGAAAATTAAATAAAAATCAAGTATATATTAAAAAAATATAAAAACAAAGACAACATATAAAAATAGGTTGGTCCAGATGACGATCCTCAACAAAGACAATACTCAAGCATCAAAGTAGTTATGCGACAATATCGAACTATGATTATGGTAGCAGGCGTTATAATTTCATACACTTTTAATAATCTGTTTGTGTAAATGTTTGGAATGATAAAACAGGACAACTACACAGCTCTTCACATAGCGGTGGAATCGTGCAAGCCAGCCGTCGTAGAAACTCTGCTAGGCTTCGGAGCTGACGTCCACATTCGTGGAGGACGACAAAGAGAGACCCCACTGCACATCGCCGCTAGAATCCCCGATGGTGAGTGCCAATACCAACATGAATTTGGCACATAACCAACACTGTTTTCTCGTAAGGATATAACCAAAAGAGCACCATCATCTAAATGTTGTTATAATGTTCATTGTGTGTTTCGTCAAAGAGATCCATCTACACATCGCCGCCAGTAATCCGGACCTGCAGTACTAATATGGACACGAGTGGTCACGTAAGAAATAAAAATAAGAGATTCCATTTTTTTAGCTACTTACAGCTCACGACTACGATCTTCTTTTTTATTTCCCTGGAGATTATCGGAATTATCAATGTGAAAAATCTAAATGCCCTTTAGGTAACTTATAGTTCCCGATATAAATATCATTATGAGTAGTCAGTCATATTTTGTTTACGTAATGCTACTTCTGAACTCCCCTTCTAAGAGATACTCAAGAAAACTTTTGTTCCTTATTTTACCATGTTAAGGTTTCAAAAAACGTAATGTGTATTGCGTTCTATTTACTTATGTCCTAATGCAAATTCCTCATCTTATTTCACTTCCGTGGGTATTGGATTAGTAATAATATTTAAAAATCATGTACAACTTTAGCTGTTGTTTCGACATGACCAACGATAATAACCTTATCCTTTAATACCCTTTGCGCCAATTATTAATTTCCTTTTTTACACTCGATAATACGTAATAAAGAGTGTTATGCTAAATTTATGGTTATTCATCCCCGTTATTTTAAACAGTTTCATTCTTCAAACTCGTATACACACCCCGATACCATTACATAACAACCCCTTTACCCATTAATAGTACTAAATTCATAGTCAACAATTAGAATTTTAGTTCATAGTAAGGCACGATATAATAATAAGAGACCTTAGATGCACTCTGTTAAAAATGTTTCATACTGTTCATATTTTACGTCATATAGTCAGTTATCTATAATGGTTTAGAATTCTAACCAAATCCACTTGTTAAGCTAAAGTAGTTCACTATATCAATCGTGATTTGTCTGTTGCACCTTGTTATGTCCACGACATTTGTGTCCTTGTCTCTATGTATTTAGGATTAATAAAATATGTAAATGCAGTAAAATTTGTAAATCTCTTAAACAAATATGTGCCTTATTTGATAAGTCAAAGAGAATATTTATCAAAATGTTACTTTCGTGTCCAGATTGCAAAATTGTAAATTACTTCATCCTTGTCTTGTTTCATAAGGTATTTCAAGCCTTTAGTTCATCCTCGGGGTGTCTTAAGAAAATAATAAAGATTATTTTGATATCTATTCGAGATAGAATTAAATATAGAACTAACCTAAAATGTGACTGTCTACAATAAATTCAAACGTTAAAATTGTTTAATTAAATCCCTTAATCTGAATGTTTTCCTAGGGGGCATATATTAGATAAGATACTGATCCTCCATTTAGTCACTTCGGCAGGTGACAAATGCGCGCTGATGCTGCTGAAGTCCGGCGCGGGACCCAACAAGGCGACCGAGGATGGCATGACGCCGGTGCACGTAGCCGCCAAGTTCGGCAACCTCGCAACCCTGATGCTACTGCTAGAAGACGGCGGAGATCCACTCAGAAAGACGAAGGTGCTGTTATTATATTCACTTTCAATCACTTAGGCTAACCTTAGACATAATTACATAATTGATACTGAAATCTAAAAGATCCAGAATTTATTGAACTTATCTTGAAGCGCCTTACTGGTTTTCTTTCTCGCCAAAACAAAGCTTTCTTTGAATCGGAATGAGATATTTCTTCTGGCGCGTCAAATTAGATTATTCTTATTGCATAAGAAGAACAGCATTACTATTCAAATTAAAATGAATTAAATTTCGAATTTACCGTAATTTCAAAGACGAATAGAATAATTTTCCACCTTTCATAAACCTAATGAATAATATAACTTATTGTAATATTTTCATTAAACACATTTTTAAACTTCGCAGACTGGTGAAACTCCACTCCATATGGCTTGTCGAAGCTGTAAACCTGATGTTGTGCGCCATTTAATAGAAATCGTTAAGGATCAAAAAGGGGAAAGCGTTGCGATTTCATATATAGACGCAGTTGATGATGATGGAGCTAGTGCGCTACATTACGCCTGCAAGATAACCAAAGAAGAAGTCAAAATAGCTTCAGCGGATCGAGAAGTTGTAAAATGTCTATTAGAAAATGGGGCTGACGTTACATTAACTACAAAACATAATCACGAGACAGCATTTCACTTTTGTGCAATCGCAGGAAATAATGACGTCATGACTGAAATGATTTCACACATATCGACAGCAGATGTCGGGAGGGCTCTCAACAAACAGAATAATATAGGCTGGACTCCACTTCTGATAGCATGTAACAGAGGCCATATGGAACTCGTCAACACCTTACTTACAAACCATGCTAGGGTTGATGTTTTTGACGTGGAAGGGCGATCTGCTTTGCATTTAGCTGCTGAACATGGTTACTTACAAGTATGTGATGCGTTATTAACAAATAAGGCCTTCATTAATTCAAAAGCCAGAAATGGCAGAACTGCACTTCATTTAGCAGCGATGAATGGCTATGCTCATTTAGTGAAGTTTTTAATAAGGGATCATAACGCTATGATCGATGTCCTGACTTTGAAGAAACAAACTCCTCTACATTTAGCCGCAGCAAGTGGTCAGATGGAGGTCTGCAAGCTACTTCTTGAATTAGGAGCTAACATAGATGCTACAGACGAATTAGGGCAAAAACCAATTCATGCAGCCGCACAAAATAATTATTCTGAAGTTGTTCAACTGTTTTTACAACAGCACCCAAATTTGGTGATGGCAACAACAAAAGACGGAAACACTTGTGCACATATAGCGGCAATTCAGGGTTCAGTGAAAGTGATTGAAGAATTGATGAAATTCGATAGGACTGGTGTGATATCTGCTAGAAATAAATTGAATGATTCCACTCCTTTGCAATTAGCTGCAGAAGGAGGACATGCTGATGTAGTAAAAGTATTAGTAAGAGCTGGGGCGTCCTGTACCGATGAGAATAAGGCAGGCTTAACGGCCGTACATCTGGCGGCAGAACATGGTCATACAAATGTATTAGATGTAATGCGCTCTACAAATACGCTGAGAATATCTAGTAAGAAACTGGGATTAACTCCACTTCACATAGCTGCGTATTATGGACAGGCGGGTGAGTAAAATAAATGACTTTCTCATTTCACAATTAAAAAAATATACCTTATTGACATATTTTTATAGAAACTGTGAGAGAACTGTTGTCTTACGTCCCGGGAACCGTCAAGTCTGAAGCTCCTACGGGAGCCTCGTTAGTCCCGGTATTAGGGGCAGAATCGGGACTCACACCGCTTCATCTTGCGGCATACAATGGAAACGAAAATGTCGTGAGATTACTTCTTAACTCTGCGGGTGTGCAAGTTGATGCAGCAAGTAACGAAAACGTAAGTTAATTCCACTGTAAATATCAGACACACCGCGAGATCCGTACAATTATAAAATTGTATAGATTTCCTAGAGGTTTTACTGTAATTTATAAATAAAAAAAACTTTATAATTGAACTCTATAATCTCAGGAACTACTGGAACAAATTAAATAATTTTTTTTGTGGACTATTCAACATAGTCCATTTTGTCGAGAAGTATTAGGAGTGGAGCAGCAATGAGAAATGTTGCAAAAACTAGATAATAAATACTTTTTTATAAACCTTACCATGCGTGCGCTGCGTAAGCGGTGAAAGTTACGCAAATATCATGTATTACAAAATCAATCCCCCTTAAATGTTCCAAAAAATAAGTTCGCGACAGTATATATATATCTTATATCTTAGTCCGAAAAAAAACACATAAAGGGATGAAAATAGGAGTGGAAGTTCGTATATGGCATTAAATCGTTACAATAGAAACCGTTGTTTACAAGTCAACAAGGAACCCTTATTATTTCGTCATGTCTGTCTGCCTGTCAGTCGGTCGCCGCTTCAGCTAAAAAAGATTTGTATTAGAAAGGTGTTATTTAGCATGAGCATACACTTTAATCACGCTGAAAAAGTGGTTAAACAAAATCTCGAAAAAAAGATTTTTTCGAGTTCCTCCCCTACCTGTAAATTTGAAGATGATTTTTTTTATATTATATATTCCCATAGCGTGGGGTATTGTTGGATAGATCTTTTAAAAATATTTTGGGTATGGGATGACCGTTTCTCGATTTAATTACTCGTTCGTGATTTATCTAACTAACTAAACAGTTGTTGTTAGAAACTTAAACATTACGAAGTATATTTTTATTTAACAAATTTAATAGGAAAACTATCCCACTTAAGTTGGCTTTACGAATTTACGAGTAATAGTCGATCAAATGTATTTAACTCGAAAATCACTAGTTTACAGCTAGTAGTCGTAGTAGTATATATATATTTGAAATGTGTTAATTAAGCCCTTTCATTTGATACCCTATAAGGAATGATTGAATAATATTTTTTTTTAGTGTCTGCCTTTATGCTTTCTTTAGGGCGTTGTTGTCAATATAATGTAACGCCACATAGCCTTTAGCACGCGGTCAACTAAGACAATTCTAATGATATCTTATTTCCCCAGTTAAAATGAGTAGTTTTGAAATTATAAGGGATTTCGTACTCGACATAGTAAAAAAAAAATAGAGTAACAATGAATTTGATTAGATGACCAACTCACATAACTATATGCAAAAGTATTACACTCAATCCAGTAGTTTTGGATATATAAACAGACAAACATGCCACTGGCATCCTAGAAGATGCCTTTATATAACAATTTTGACAAAACAACAAAACAATCTTGCTGTGTCGTGAAATAAACCACTTGTATCAATGAAACTAGAAATTTAAATTAATAAATAAAATTTTCAGGGATTCAACTCTCTTCACCTTGCTTGTTTCGGAGGACACATGTCAATTGTCGGCCTCCTCCTAAGCAGGTCAGCAGAGTTATTGCAAAGCACAGATCGACATGGCAAGACTGGTCTTCATATAGCTTCGACCCACGGTCACTACCAAATGGTTGAAGTATTACTCGGACAAGGAGCAGAAATCAATGCCACCGATAAAAACGGATGGACTCCATTACATTGTGCAGCGAAAGCAGGCCATCTTAATGTAGTCAAACTTTTATGTGAATCTGGAGCATCACCGAAAAGTGAAACGAACTTAAGTTGTGCACCGATTTGGTTCGCAGCCTCAGAAAATCACAATGATGTCCTTGAGTATTTGCTACATAAAGAACACGATACTCAATCCTTAATGGACGACAAACGATTTGTGTACAATTTGATGGTGTGTTCGAAAAACCATAATAATATACCAATAGAAGAATTCGTGCTAGTCTCTCCAGCGCCCGTAGATACTGCGGCCAAGCTGTCAAATATCTACATCAACTTATCCACCAAGGTAAATATAAATTATGCAATTGAATATTTTCTACGTATCCTTCAGGAAAAAAGCAAGGAATTTCACGGTCGCACTCATAGCGTATAAGGCGATTTACCACATCTCGTAAATAAATGCTTTGAATTAACATTAACAAAGCTTCATAAAGGTCTAAATAATATTTTGTTTTTCAAATTATATATTTCTTAATTGAAGCATGTGATCTTGATTTGTTTTCTGTTGCTGTACCAAAATAAAATAATAAATAAAAAATGTTGCTTTTTAATGAGATTTAACGTTCGTAATAACACATCAGAACTTATTCAACTCACATCGTGATGTCCTAAACAGGAAAAGGAGCGTGCCAAAGACCTTATCGCAGCGGGGAAACAATGTGAAGCGATGGCCACCGAGCTGTTGGCATTGGCCGCGGGTGCCGACTCGGCCGGACACATTCTCACCGCTACAGATAACAGAAACATTGAATTCTTAGACGTCCTCATAGAGAACGAACAGAAAGAAGTCATAGCTCACACAGTCGTCCAGAGATATCTTCAGGTAAAAAATAGGTAACTTCACCTACTTTAATGGAAAATCAAAACTAAGTATGGTAAGACAGCTGAACGATCTCACTGTTTCAGGAACTCTGGCGCGGCAGCCTCAAGTGGAGTGGCATCAAAATTATGTTCCTTTTTTTCACATTTATAATTTGTCCACCCGTTTGGATGGTGTTCTCTCTTCCATTAGGGCATAAATTTAATAAGATACCAATAATTAAGTTCATGTCTTATCTTACCGCCCACATTTACCTTATGATTCTTCTATCCCTCGTCGCAATCACGCCTATTTATAATTCTATTTTTAGGGATAGTCTAGTACCAAAATGGTATGAATGGATGCTCCTCATATCTTTGAGTGGTCTATTACTATTCGAACTTACAAATCCAAGTGATAAATCAGGTTTAGGGTGGATAAAAATAGCAGTGCTGTTATTTGGTATGATAGGGGTAGCGGTTCACGTAGCAGGGTGGATATTTGTACAACCCAAATACTGGCCTACGTTGATGTACTGCAGAAATCAATGCTTCGCGCTATCTTTTTTACTAGCATGCGTACAAATTTTAGACTTTTTATCTTTCCACCATCTGTTCGGCCCATGGGCGATAATTATTGGAGATCTGATGAAAGACTTGGGAAGGTTTCTGGCAGTGTTAGCCATATTCGTATTCGGATTTTCAATGCACATAGTGGCCTTGAATCAGCCATTTAGAAATATAACTAAGGCGGAAGACAATAAGTATGCGAGACAACAAAGAAGGAAACTGTTCTCCGACGGTAAGAACTTTTTTTTATATTCTATCACATTAATCATTTCATATAACAATTTTTCATGTCCTAAGACATCATAAATTAAATGTCTTTTATGTATTTATTTGTTATCACTTTCAAAAAACATTAGTACAAAGAATAAAATCATAAATTTGTATTATTTAACCCAAACTTCTTGTACACTAGACATTCTACGAACGAAACGACAAACTGTAGAATCGCAGTGGTCAAATACCCTTCCAGGGGAATCATACAGGAGGAAACAGCCTGTGGGAGGACGTAAGTCCCAGATATAATGAGGAATACTTTAACATACCAATGTTCATTAAATAAATATCACACGTACGATGATCGCATTATATCTCGATGGTGCTTGTTTTATTTATTTCATTTTATCAATAATTCATGCATCCGCTTGCGGCTTTTTGAATGTTTTACTTTCACCACGAGAATGTTATCATCGTTGAATTCATTATCCAATATATGTATAGATAATATTTCTAATATGGAATGTGATAAGACTCTGTAATATACAAATGACACATACACCGCCTCTATTTATGGTTTTGATTTCAAAACAATATCATAAAAGATGGCGTTGATTTTGATGGTTTAGAATGTTTGGTAAATGTACACAATGCATTTTCTGCTTCACAACTATCTGACGCTTACGGACATGTGTTCCAGATTTGGATGTTGTCACAGGATATGCATTGCGCGTCACAATATTAGTTTTAGTGGAATGAGTGGCCGACTTCACCGCATTCGATGGAGCAATTTGATTTGCGCATGTGGCTGCTTATGTTCCGCGACTGTCACGCCGGTGTCTTGAGGTACCACTTTACATTACAGATTGTTTGGCTGTATGTCGTCTTTGTGGCGCTCTTGGCGCTCACGCTGTCGGTGTCTCCTTAGTTGGATTAGTTATAGGATAGGATTGATACAAATTATTGGTTTCCATAATTGGCAAATTTAATTCTAATGAAAGTCTTTACAATTTATCCCATTTAACGTTTCTTTGCACAGTGTATCAATCTATCCTGATTATATGGTCAGCTTAGCTGATGTTTGTAGTTTTAGATGAAACTGGGCGTAGGGGCAGATTCATGCAACTTAAGGTCTCAAATAATTTTATCTGAAATAGATAAATAAAATAAAATAAAATTACCTAGTATCAACCTACCCCTACCCTGTTCCATGAAGCGTAGGCTCAAAAAGAATCCGGTCCATGTTGGTTGTTGTCTTCTAGCGACGTTCACACCGCTCGAGGCGATCGAGAAATTGTTCCTCGCCCTTTTCGGCCAGCTCACGTTGTCAGACCTGAACTACGTGTCAAATCTACGGCCGTGGTGGACGCAGAACCTGTTCAAGTTCGTGTTCGGTGGCTACTTACTGATGTCGGTCGTGGTGCTCGTAACGCTCCTCATTGCGATGATGTCGGACACTTACCAACGCATCCAGGTAACTAAATGTAAACAAAGGCCCTGTTTTTGTTCACAGTGACGATGAACCCGCTCTCATCGTTCGAGTTACTATTCTTCGCGGTCTTCGGTCAGACCACCACCGAAAATACGAGAGTGCATCGAGCCGATAACAACATGCAACCCGCATGGACGAATTACTTATTCAAAATCGTGTTCGGCATCTACATGTTGGTGTCGGTTGTGGTTCTGATAAATCTACTCATTGCTATGATGTCAGACACGTACCAAAGGATTCAGGTAATGTCCGCGCGTGCGTGGCATATGCGTGTTGCGTTGTACGTTGTCTGCATTGATTAATACACGGCTTCTGTTAAATAAATAAATCATATTATTTAAATGTGTTTAAGGCAAACAATTAACAACTGATTTTAACTTATTGTTTAAACGATACCGAACTTGTGGCACTATAACTCAACTTATTCCTATATTGTTAGTAAATTGCACCAAATTCTAAATCTGGATCTATAAATGGTACTGAAAAACTTCACAGTACTTATTATATATTTATATGAAAATTAACTACATCTAACGTTTTTGATAAAAAATACTTGGTAAAAACCTACCTTTAACTAATTTAATTATATTGGTGTAATATACTTAACTGATCACATTATTTTAATTCTTACACCAAAAATTAATAATGATTTAAAAATTTGATTTGCTTTCACTGTATTAAATACTTAAATGACATTGAGTTGATGCACATTTTACTAAATCTTTAGAGTTTCTTATATCTATTGATAAACGACTATATTCAAGGTTTATAACTAAAATGCTTAATTTTAGGCTCAATCTGACATCGAATGGAAGTATGGTCTCTCTAAGCTGATTCGAAACATGCATAGAACCAATACAGCTCCATCACCATTGAACCTCGTCACAACTTGGCTAATGTGGCTTATTGCCAGATGTAAGGTAAAGTACTTTGTTCCATTTATGATTGATTAAAGCAAATATTTGGATAGGTTAATATCAACTTTAATAGTACAACATAATGACAGGAACGTGACTTAATCGTTTGCTGTTTTACTCAAGTTGTCTTACCTTCATCGGGAATTTTCGGAAATACTTCACATTCCCAGAATTTTGAAATATATGTCAAACAATCTCTGTTTCTCAAAGAACAATAAACATTTTTTTCCTTAGGAGCGTTTAACCAAAAAGAAGAGGCCCAGTCTGGTTCATATGGTCGGTCTGCAACGGCAAGATCAGATGAGCGCTCGTTCCAAAGCCGGTGCTAAGTGGCTCTCTAAAGTCAAGCGTGCGCAAGTCGTGCCCAAAGGTATTTGACTTTTTGAAATTTCCTTGAATGATATATTTTTTTCTAATCTATCCACTATAATATTCATAACAATTTTCATAATCACACAACTCCCTCTTACAGACTCAACACGACTCTCTGTAGTGCACCTCAGTCCGCTTGGCTCTCAAATGAGCTTCAACAATACAACGAGGATCGAGAATGTAGTAGACTGGGAGATTATAGCCAACAAGTATCGCGCGCTGATGCGTGATGAACCTTCAGAGTCCTCCTCTAAAGAGAACGAATCGGATTCCGCTGATGAGGTGTCAGAAGTGATGCCTAACAACGTGTCAGCAGCACAACCTTGAAATTTCCAAAGTAAAACTACCTGGGAAAATTTGTAGTGAGATTCAATCGAGCTTATCGTTGGAGTTCATCTAAAAGCATAATATGACAAGCATAAAGTTATCAAATTTTATAAAATATCTAAAAGAAGAATTGAAATAGGTGATAAACCTGATCAGAAATGGATTCCATTGACTATAAAACTTTTTAAATGTAAAATATTTAAACTATTTTTTTTTTAAGTTTGTCAGGAGTGTAATCAAGATTTTCTGGTAATCCTTTAGTATTCTAAGACATATTTCATTATTGTAAATAATGTTAGCTTGTAAATAACTACCTACGTTAAGTAAAACTTTATTGCATTAATGATCTATTATACATTTTTATATCTTGTAATAATATGTGTTAGACCATAAACACACTTAGCGTTGCAACATTAGTTTGCTTACCGAGAAACATAATCAAACATTTTATCAACAATAATGAATATTGTTTGAACATCTTAATTCTTTGTGAGCAAAAATCAAAGCAAAGTACTAAATAATAATAATAAAAAAACCGACTAATGATCAAGAGTATGCGTATTATTGATGATGGTACCTTAAACATTATTAGAATGACTTAGATACGGTATGTGATGTACCATTATTAAACAATCGCAATACCTAAGAGAAACCAAAACTCAATAAACCATTTTAAAGTATAATATTACTTATCAATAAGGGTAATGTTTGTTTGCAATGATTTTTTTTTACCCTCATACCCTATCAGACATCGAAGAGAGATTCTTGACCACATTTTTAGCTATTCTATACATAAAGCGTCGTTTACGATAGCTTTGCCAGTTTCTTTTGTTTTTATATATTTTCTAATTTGATTTTTTATGGCTTATGTCATTTTTAATCTATTATTGCTATTACTATCTGTCTTTTTTGTGCGTCAAAGTGCTTTAAATATATTATTTCTTTACTAGTTTCCAATCTTAAATAAAACTAAAAGTCCACGCCTTATGCTGTCGATTAAGAAATCTGCTGTTTTTGAAAGGTCTCAGAAATTAATAATAACACATTTCATTTGTAGGCCTTCGATTCATAGACTAGTAGAAACATAGGACTGCAATTAAAATATATTTTGGTTAGTTAGTTAGTTTTTTTTAATCTTGTTTTTTTTAACAAGTAAGCTTCATTTTGTTCTGCCGTTTTATTTACAGGTTGTTATTTCCTTTTCATAGAAGTTCTCGTTTATGATGTTTTCGTACTTATATACTACACACATTATTATTATATCTATCTCATTCATAATATAACGTTTATGAATTTCTTCTTTACTTATCATTACAAATATTATTACATACTTATATCTATCATAGATTCTTTATTTTGTTAGATGTTATATTTATATTCTTATTGTCTATTATTTATCTTATATTTCTAGTTGTTTTGCCGACTTTGCGTAGGTACGTACTCCAGTTTCGGAATTGATATGTAGTTAAGCTTCTAAGGTGACAAGAATTATTATTTCAAATTGGTGTTGGGTAAAATTAAATAATCCCTATATTTTTATTTGTTTATCTACTTATATTGCGAGGTAAAAATAAGTCGTGACTATAAAATGCAATACAGAAAATATTTATCGGTGTTGTAAATAGTGTGGTATTATTATTATCTTTAATAGTTATTGAATATTTATACAACTTATACGTGTTATAACTAAATGTATATCTACTGTTGGCTTGGTAACCAACGGTGTCCATATGTCACCAGAGATATTGATAATTATACGTATTGTAATTTATTTTTTTCCACGATTGTATTAAACTAGTTTTGAAAATTGATTTTTATTAATGATATTTTTGTAAATAAACGTGTTGTGCATAAGTTTTTGTGTTTCAGTCTTTATCACGCTGTAATTGTGAAATTACTTTTTTCTCAATCTGTCATTTAAATTAGCGCAACCATTCTTATTTTTTAATATATTTTTCATCATCCCAAACAATCGAATATCAATATTCTATATATCAATAATATACTTATAGTACTACTTTAAAATTCTAAATATACTTACAAGCGGAAAAAGTGTATAACATTTTCTAACAAATTCTTTCAACTTACCTATCATGATACCTAGATATATTTTCTGTTGAATGAAATGATGTGTGTGTGTATTTTGGCAAGAAATATATCATTTATCTATCTATCTATGTACATAACGTTTTAAACATACACACATTAAACATAACATATTAATTATGCAATTAGATACGCTTTTAAACATTTGTTTAAACACATTTAAATATTGATCGCGATAAATTACAATATATTTGACATTGTAACGTGAAAAAAATTATGTTTCTAAACTATGCGTAGGTACATTCTTTTCAGTGCCAGCTAAACGGTGTTCGTTTCATTCATGCGTTAAGTGTTCTGGTAACCGTGTAGGTTGGTTTATATTAAATAAAAACTATGTGTTCTAATTTCAATAATGTCTTCAGCTGGATCATCTTATTGTTCGGTGAGAAGTTTTTTGCTATTATTCGCAAATTAATTATAAATACCATACCGTGTTTATCCTAGAGAATTATAGTAAAAAGTCAAAGTACTCAAGAGTCTGTGTCGAAGCCATCTGGTTAAATCAGCCGTCCAATTGGATGGCTCCATTTCCAAATTAGTAAGGTTAAAAGTTTTTTCATCTGATAGTAGTCATCCAATAGTAGTAAAAAAAATGCTTTCGTCTTGCCTCAATTTATTATGGTTTATGTAAAATGATCAGGTAATTATTTAGGTACCTTTCTACGTCTTCGAATGCAATTACCGACGTACCGAAAATCTCATCGTACCTAGCGTAAGTGACGTGTAGCTTCAAAGAGAGCTGCCCTACACTGCGCCGCTACGATCAGGTAAAAATCGGACAAGTGCACAAGCTACATACTCATCCGGGTTCATGTCATTCCGGACCTGGAAATTCAGTGTAGTGCACAAGCGCCCTTAAATTTTTAAACTATCACGTGACACTATAGGGCCAAATTGACTTCGTTAATTCTATCTAATTTTCGCTGTGCTATGTTCCGCGATCGTTTTAAATTCCTTATCTATCACGTAAACTACAGGACCAAAACAACATTGATTTTTTTATTTTGTTTTATTACTTATCCTACCTATCTTCTATAGTTTATTAGTTTGCTGACCTTTCTACAGCCATGTAATTGAATGGCGCCATTCAATTAAAGGGCTTGCCAAAAGTATGCCTTGAGCGTTCCAAAATTAACTATTACATATGTAGAGCTTTAGAAGAGCGGCAGTGAAAGGTCAGCTTTATTTAAACTGAATTTTCTTCAAATCAAAACAATAAAAAGTAATTTATTCATATGACTATAATAAATAGGTAAATACAGTTCGGTGGCGTAGCGTATAAGCGCCGCGGCCGCGATCGTTGTTGTTAAGCAACTTTCGCAAGAGTCGGTCACGGGATGGGTGACCAAAAAAAATTTAACTCGAGCTACTTCGTGCTTCGGAAAGTACGTTAAGCCGTTGGTCCCGGCTGCATTTGCAGTCGTTAATAAACTCCAATCCGCATTGGGCCAGCGTGGAGGGTCATGGCCCATCCTCCTTAACCATCCATAAGGAAGGCCTGAGCCCCTGCAGAGGGGACGTAAAAGGGCTGATGTTGTTGATGATGATGATGAAACAGTTCTCACCTCGGTTTCATTATCAGCCCGTTAATGTCCCCCCGCTATTGGGACACAATCTATGCTCCATAGCCTGTAGCGCATAGGTGTTGCTTATGGGTGGAATAGAATCGATTTGGGAGAATAGGATTCTCATCAAATTACAATATTTATTCATTAAAATGATTGCTTCAACAATGCGGCAATTTATCCAAAACCACTTTTACAATATAAGAAATATAAGTTGGAAATCAATAAAAAATTACATTTTAAATATAGTATGATCAATATGAGAAATGTGCTCCAAACACCCAATGCTCTTCTAAATAATCAAAGTAAAACATACCTATAACATTATAACAAATCTATAGGTATTCATCAGCTGACATCTGCAGCGAAGTTTCGGTTTTATAAGTAAGTAATACTATAATATTTATTATTGAGTTTTCATATTTATGAATTATTTATACTGGCATCCTTAATTTAAATTGTTATATGATGCTGTGGTGATAAATGTACATAGGTATTCCTAATCTGGTAAAGATTATTTATGGCTAGTCATAAAGAAACAGACTTGATCTTATCTATACTCATTCATTGCGTCGCTTCAATGAGATCCATCGCAGAGTAGAAACAATATTACCTATGTAGATATAGACAGAGTATGGCGTATTGCGAATCAAAAGCTGTTTTTAATTTATTATTCGCAAAATATTACCATTATTTTTAAGGTTCTCCTTAAAGAACTGGATTGTAATGTGTTTCGCATCTTTAACAGATTTTCCTATAGAAATCAGTATAGTTACGAGAAAATTTGTTTCAATGTTCAATTTCGTTTCGATACTCTATTAAGTCTATTATTTATTTTTAAAATATAGCTCAGATATTTTTTTATAATTTGCTCTACTTCTACGTAATACGCATCTATCTCTATTTGTCTCATTGACTGGCCTATTCTGTTTATCTCATTAATTAGACTTAAATGACAAAAACCTTTTGCTTACAGAACCTTCACCGACTACATGGAGGTTCCAGTAGAAACTCCTGACGCTGTCGTCGCGTCCTCTAATCCATACGTGGACGTCAACAAGCCAACTTACTTAATCGCGATAGGGTTCAATTTTAAGTTAGAGGGTCCCTTGCTAACAGAGCTAGTGCCAGCTTTGCTTAATCTCGGAGACAGAAATGTGTGTCTGGTCAATTGGGTTAACGAAGCGAGTGCTGGTATACTTGGTGAAGGATTAGGTTATGCTCTTAACGCGTTACCGAACAGTAAAACGGTAAGCGACGCCATTTTTTGTAAATTTTAAAACTCCTTGTATATAAAAAGTTTTTGGATTTAGACACACGTTTATAGGCCTAGCTAGTAGGCTAACAAAATCTACAGCTAAATAAACGAAATTTACAGCTGAATCCAAAAATTGTCATCATCATCTTTAGCTAGATGATCAGATATTTTGTTTCCAGTAATTCCACTATGACTTGGTAAAGTACTTGTAGCAGTCCTTCCATACTTCGCTTTTCGAAACCAAGGTTTATGTAAGATATCAGTCCCGACTACAGGGGCTCAGGCCTACCTTATGGTTGGTTAAGGAGCATGGGCCATGACCCTCCACGCTGGCCCAATGCGAATTGGCGGGTATTAACGACAATAAATGCTACCGGGACCAACGGCTTAACGTGCCTTCCGAAGCACGGAGTAGCTCGAGATAATAATTTTTGGGTCACCCATCCCGTGACCGACTACCCACTACGCCACAAATTAAAGCTACGAGCTAAAAATTGGCATAATCTTAATAAAAGATCTAAATGATTTACGATGTATGCTATCCATTGCCAATATATATAAAAAAGGCATAAAAAAAATATTTCTACGGACAAAACAGACAACTAACGCAATGACAATGTAAAACACACTTTAAATACAAAGAAATATTTCACAATAGTTTTTACGCCAACATCACCGACCCCGAGTAGGAATGTATATTCGGTAAGTAAAATTTCCATCTTGTTTCATAAATATAAAACCTCGATCAGCTCTTTTAGAAGCTCTAACTGTTTTATATAGTTCAACACTGTGGTTCAACAAGCTTTTTTAAGATCTATTTCAATTATGTAATACCAAAAAACCAATCTTGACAAAATAAAGACAAAGATATCTTTATTTTGTCAAGATATCATCAGCCCTGTGAAATAAAACAGGGAGAAAAAAACAGCCTTTTCTTGCCGGTTCTTCTCAGTACAAGGTCTCCCGCCGTAGTTTTGCGAACCGATGGCGTAGTTTTCGACTTTCACAAGAGCTCTATAAAAGCCTAAACTGAATAAATAAATTTTGATTGATTTGATTGATTTTGATTAATCTAAACTTCTTGGGTCAAACTGAAAATTTTAGAATAGGCCAAAAATTAAAGGAGGCGGTGAATAATATATTTGAATTTTGGATTGGGAACTTCTTGGTCTTTTTTTAACAATTTGGCGGTAATTTTTAAGTGTCTGTCGTGAGTCGAAATGGATTTAAACAATTTTTTTTTTGTTAGAATTAGAATGAATAAACATTTTTGATTTTATTTTTTTTATTTTTGTTTTTTTTTTATTGACATTTTTCAATGAAACAATTACCTCTTGCCTACGTACACTAGTACAACCTTATTAATCATCGTAATAATCCTCTGGGGTCTTCCCTATAGATGGAATTAAATCAAATAGGGACAATACGTCATGCATGACCTACGCAGGCCCAGTACGGATAAATGCAACCGGCACCAAAAGCCTAACAAGGCATCCGCAGTATGGAGGAACTCGAGATAGTAAAACGACGTCGATATAAAGGCCCCTCTGATAAAACTTTATTTTTTATTAAGGGATTTACAAGGAAATTACAAACATTATGATAGACTATGATGGCCACTATACTAAGCTTCCTTTTTTGACAGGTGGGAGAAGCCGTCGGAAAAGGCATAGTGAAACTCGTGAATCTTGGCTTGAAGAATGACATCCACTTTATTGGACACTCACTAGGAGCACAACTCGCAGGTTACGCTGGAAGAGAAACCATTAAACACGGAATAAATCTTACAGAGTAAGATGTTATTGCAAAAACTAGATGTAAAATTATCGAAAGCTTATTAAAAATATTGAATGCATAGCATCATTACTATAGAACTAGAAAGAAAAAGGTGTTCTTTGATCACTATGGTTTGATCCCATCTTTATTTATGAATATTTTACCCGTATTTAAAGCCTTAAAGGGTTGGTAAGTAGCTTAAAGAATTTCTAAATTATGCTCATGGTTGTTCATAATAAAAAAAATACACATTTTTTTTTTCTATTGTAACTAACTTATACAGTTTCACGAAACAAAAATTTATTGAAATAAAATATATGAAACATAGTGACATACGGGCTCCGTTGATTCTTTCCGGATAACGCAATTTTCTTGCGATTCTTAAGTCGGGTCTACAATCAAATTTCTCCACCCAAATCTAAAATCTTTGCTCAAGATTCTAGCAACTCTTCCTATAAACGATGCGACATCAGAGAAATCGTTTTCTACGCTAAGAAGTGTAAAAACTAGACTGAGGGCAAATATATTAGAAGATAGGCTGATAGGCTTAGCTCTTCTAAATATTTCCAGAGACCCAGTCGTCTCAAACATTATCACCTGATTTGTCAATAGAAAAAATCTATTTGTTTTGTAATGTGTAAACTTAAATTGTCTATTGCGCTATAAAGTCTTACTCACTTGTTTCCCCCTCCAAAACAATAAGCTGCCACTCCTGCGTGAAAGTAACGCCTGCCTATATAATTTCACAAACTCACAATTTACCAAAACCGCTATTTGGGTTGTAAACCTTTTTTTTATTTGCCTCTATTTCAGCAGGAGCTGTACTCCAATTTAGTATTCAAAATATACCATGTCACAAAAGTTATTAGATTTATTTATATTTAAAATGAGAAAACGTTCTTTTAAGAATTATTTGGGTTCTAATTTTAATACTAAGTTACAGTTAGTTTCTTATAATACGCCGCATGGCAACTCTTCATTTCCGCAGAGTAGAACTATTAATTCTGACGATGACCGAACTCTAATAAAAAAATGAACTTTTTAAACAAGACCCATAATAAAACTTTCGGTTACAATCTGCGTTAGTAAGTCTATTCTGCGCAAATTATGAATCACCATGCGCCGTATTATTTAGAGCTTACTGATATATAGAACACTTTAAAATCCCAATTTACTCTCATTCCCAAGCTGAGTAATTCGCTTTTATTACTGGTAACCTACAGCTGACTGTGATGTATATGTTATTAACCCGAGAAGTCTAATCTACGTCTGCGAGCCGTACACGAAATTAAATGTTCCCTTTATTTTTCTGACGCATTAAAATGGTGCATTGACTCGGAACTGACGAGAGCTTGTCGATAGTGACAGTATCACTTAAATATATTAAGTCCAGTCATTTTCGACTATTTTCGACTTATAATCATATATACGCTGGCGACATATATGAATGATTAGCCATGAATACTTTATGAAAAATTTAATAATATGATTATTAAATTAATAAATCAATAAGATTTGATATTTTCTGAAAAGGTGATTATTAAATTTAAAAATAGTTTTACTTATATATCCTTTAAAAACTGAGACATAGTTAGTGTATAATTTCTTCTGCTAGTTGTCTACTTTCCTGTACGCTTCTAAAACGTATGACTAGGCTTAGGTTTTGTGTAACTGTCGAGTAGATTAGGCTTCTAGGAATTATATATTACAAACATTATCTTTTTTTATAATACGAAGGTATCTGTATAAGTTTTTATATTTATTATTTGGTGGTACTGAAGTTCTTTTGCAATAAACTATTATTGGATACAGACGTATTTTATTGGGCACCGCAATTCACCGATATTAAATTGATTTTTTACAGGATAATTGCCTTAGACGCAGCCCGTCTTGGCTACGAACCCCCATCACTGTACCAGTATGTGGATAAATCTTGTGCCACTCTGGTGTACGCTGTTCACTGTGACGTAAATGGCTACGCGCTCAACATCACCCTGGGCCATGTGGACTTTTGGCCAAATTTTGGGAACTACGAAAGTTCTACATCGATTAGACTTCAACCAGGCTGCTTAAAGGGGACAACTCTGCAAGAGATACTTACCAATGGAAGTAGGTTTTAAGTGTTACAGTAAAAAAAATATATGTACGACATTTATTTAATCTAATTAATAAATATAAAGCGCAATTCTTGTGTAATATTATAATCTGAATCTTGGAAACGACTCGTATGATTTTCATTAAAATTTAGTAGGTATGCAGGAGATTTTGTAAGCCTAAAATCGATCTAGCTAACTTACTTTTTTAGGCAATTTCATTTAAAAACAAATACCATCACCCAGGTAGTACCACGCAAAACTGTACAAAATGTACTTACATATGGCATTTCTCCGTATTCGATTCGATACCGTTCAAGAACGCCTCAGCAATGGTGACATTACTTAGCTGATGATGACGACATGTCTTATACTTGCAGGGTTCCGTAGTAAACGAGGAGGCCTTATTAGTTTCACTATGTCAGTCTGTCCGGCAGCCGCGGTTTAACTCAAAAACTATTATACTAGAAAGTTGTAATTTGGCAGAAGTATACACGTTAATAACGAAGACAAGGTGGTAAAGTTGTGAAAAAAATAATATCTACATTTGATGTGGGGACAATAGTTGGATTAGTCTCTCAAGGGATTGGGTAGTGGGAAGGCCGTTTGTAGATTTAGTATACCATTTGTGACTTATTAAGCTTCAAAGAAATAGTTTTCGTTAGAGTTAAGTGTAGAGGGTTGTTAGTTGGTAGACCCCCTCTACGAACTAAACGATCGTTGATAAAAATTCAAACGCTTCGGCAGTAGTAGTATCTATATAATAAATAACAAAGTTAAAAGGAAAACTATCAACTTAAGTTTGCTTTAGAAGTTTACGAGTAATAGTCGATCAATTGTATTTAACTCGACAATATCGAACAACAAAAACAACAAACGTGATTTTATTTACTTTCTTTTAATGGATAATGGCACGAAACTCTTCCCCTGCTATTAATAAACAGTTTAGCGTTAGAGTAAATTTACACTAAAATATAAATTTTAGTATTAGTCCAAATTTATGTTATAGAGAGAATAAGCAAACCTACTACACTCTAGGAGTAAATATTACTCCCATAGAATCTTGTACTAGGTTTACCTTTGCTATGTCTCTGTGTTAATAATATGAAATTTGACTTACACTTAGTGCAGTCTCAGCGTAAATTTACTCCAAAGCTACACCTGTTCATAGTCTGTTCTAAAACGCCATTTTACTGTGATTACAGACAGATGTAGCCATGACTACTGCTACAAGTTTTATGTGGTCTCGCTGACCAACCCTGGCCTCTTTGTAGGCAGCAAAGCAAACAACTACTTCCAGTGGAAGACTATAAGTAATGTCAATGCCAACAATACGAATTTTATCGGTCCTCTTATCAATCCTAAGTAAGTATTAAAATACCAAAAAGAATATTAACTTCTAATCTTGTGGGTATATAAATGTCTGCCTAAAATTCATTAATTTAATTTATAAATTACTAGCTGTTTTCCTGCGACGTCGCCCACTTAAATTATTTCAGCTGCGTATGATATGAGAAGCTACCATAGCTGAAAGAATGATTGGATCCGGGAGCCAATTCTACTAAATAAATTTTGTTTAAATCGAATCGAAAACGGATCGAAACTACAGTTTTACAATTCCAGCTAAAATAGAACTGGAATTGTATCGTATGTCACTTTGTAGAATAGGAAAACCATTAAAAACTGTAGTTTCGTTCGGTTTTGATCCATTTTCGATTCGATTTAAACAAAATTTATTCAGTAGAATTGGCCCCCTGTGTATCTGAATAATATCCTCTATAAACAAGCATACAAAGTTGGAACTTTGTCTCTTTATAGTATTTGATATAGAGAGTTTTCTAATTCTATTAGTATTATAAATTGATGATGCTTACTTGACAAATATTTTTTATATATTTTTCCAGTGACAAACACCGTAAATTTAAAACTACCCAAGAAAATTTTAATTCTCATTTGTAAAATGTTTATACAAAAAAAATGCTTACTATTTGTACGATTTAAAAAAGATAGCTTTAGTTATATGACATTATATGTACCTCAGTGTTATAAATTTATTTAAGTTTTTAATATAAGGGCGTATTTACCCTGCAAACAAAAGGATTACCTACAGCCCAGGACCACAGGTGATGTAATAAAATAATATGGATGAATACTTGGTAGACGAAAATCTACACACAACAAATCTATTTAACGACTGATTTTTGTTTGTTTTTTCTTCAGATAGATTGCTGTAAAATATTAAACACGAATTTTTTTCGTAATAATTAAATTACGGCGACACGTTAAATTAAAATGTCGCATGACGTCACACTTTTGTATATTTCTACAAAACTGTTGTTATCTAAGCGATTTCTTGTTAAATTGAACTAAACGAAAATGCGTATTTAATATTTTCTAGTATCTGATTGACGGACTAAATAGAATTTCGTGTTTTTACACAGTCGTCATCCCTATTGTCTATGGTTTATTTTTTTTATTTACTTAGAATATTATACTGTGTGCTTTTCTTAAGTATTCATCAATTTATGAAAATAGCTGTATAAACGTAAACATATCATATAGAAGACAAACATAAATACTATTTCGTTGTTTATTTTTCAGTCGCCCTGGTAACTTCTACTTTGTCACCGGCAGTACGAATCCATGGGGCCTTGGAGCTAACGGCCTCCAGCCTCCAACAACAACATAAATAATGCTTAAATTAAAAAGAAATCTAAAACCAATTTGTTGTTATAATTTATCGAAGTTGTGATTTGTTCGTTAAATATATATCTATATTTTTTCCTCTACTTAGTGTTTTTTTGATACCACTTTATTGAATTGTGGAAGTATGACGTAGAAGTCGACCTACTTACCGAGACCCTTAACGGACCTTCCGTTAGATTTGCACCGACGACCCATGATGTTTTTTTAATATTACCTATGTTAATACAGCATAGATAATCCAGATTATGACTAATTTTTGTGTATCTGACAATCGGATATATTATCGAAGAATAATAAACACGTTTTTTTTCACTTTTTGCTTTATTAATAAATTACAGTGAAATTACAGACATTAAGTTCAAAATGTTGTATGACGACACACCTTGGTAAATTTCCTACATAGTTGTGACGTAGTAGAGTGTGACGTCGTAGTGAGCCCCCACTCCTAACTTTAATGCATATAATCTAAGTCATTTTGTGTTTGTGTTTTACAATTCCAGCTAAAATAGAAACAATTTTGCTTGGAGGGTAATTTAGTTGTTATTTCTTTTGTAATTCACTTTTATGCGTTGGAGGTAGCTAATTTAATTTATTCCTAATACTAATTTATAGAGCCAACTTGTAAAGTATTAGTGACAACTGTCAACTTGACATGTCATTTTTGTTTTCTTTTTTGGTTTTGTTTTCTGTTTTGTCTATGGTCTGCTGCTTCGAGCAATAACCTTTGTGCCACCGCTCATTGTGTGTTCCGTTTTACGCTTTTGTTCTGCTGTTCTTGTTTTTTGTTTAATTGTGTAATTTTACTTAGTATTTTAGTGTGAAAGATTTCTTTCTATACAATTTTATTGTTTTTGATTTGTGGAATTGTTGAAATTTGGTATAGTCGTTTCTGTTAAGTTTTATTGCTGGTAGGTTGTACTAATGCGCATAATTTTATTTATCGATTTTTATTTTATGTAATTTTGCTTAATATTTTGCTCTTTATATATATATTATATTTATATATATTATTTTTATATATATATAAGTAATAGTATCTAACTATAGCATACATTATGCTTAATTCTGCTAATGATGATACTCAAGACTTTTTATCTCTTTGTTCCTCCTCTGATGGATTAAACAGTAATGATAGTTTTTGTAGTATTCCATCTTTAAACAATTGTCTCCAATCTATAACATCAGATGTACCCAAAAATTTTAATATAGCACATATTAACGCACAGAGTATTCCTGCTCACTATCCCGATTTTCTAGTAACTTTTTCTGATAAAAATATTCATGCCGTACTTGTTTCGGAATCATTTCTTCATCCTTCTCTTCCCTCTTCAGCTTACTCACTTCCTGGTTTTCAACTCATTCGCAACGATCGTACTAATACTTCCCATGGGGGCGTGGCCATTTATTTACGAAACCATATTTCTTTTACTGTTATCAGCAGATCTCCTCAACCCCCTCCGCCAGATACTGCAGAACACCTTTTTCTAGAGATTACTCTTTCTCACACCAAAATTCTGCTGGGCGTTTTCTACAGTCCATCTTTAAAAGTAAATTATTTTTCTTCTTTCGAGAAACTTTTAGAAGATCTCATTCCTTCCTACAGCCATTCTATCATTATGGGTGACTTTAATACATGCCTTCTAAAAGACGATTTCCGTTCTAATAGTTTAAAGTCCCTCGTTAATGCTTGCAATATGCATATACTTCCTTTAAATGCTACCCACTTCTTTCCAAATTGTGCTCCATCGCTTCTCGATTTAATTATCGTTTCCTCCCTTGACCATGTGGCCAAACATGGTCAATTCACTGCTGATGCATTTTCATATCACGATTTAATATATCTCTCTTATAAAATTCGACCTCCCAAAGACAAGCCTAAAACTCTTCTGCAACGTAATTTTGGTGGCATTGATATGAATCGTCTCCGTGCTGATGCCCTATCAATTGATTGGTCTATCTTCGAAAGCGCTTCGACTGTTGAGGAACAAGTTGATTTATTTAACGATTCATTAACCCAGTTGTATGATCGTCATGCACCTTTGCGACCTATTAAAATGAAACACCTGCCTGCGCCTTGGTTAACTGAGGAAATCAAATCTTTGATGAACAAAAAAAATCATGCTAAGGCTAAATACAAGTCTAACCCAACTGATATGAATCGTGACAAATATCATAGAATAAGAAATCGCTGCAATACAGTGTGTAGGGATGCACAGCGACGCCATATTCATAAATCTGTGGAAAGCGGTGATCCCGCTAAAGTTTGGAAATTTCTTAGGTCTCTAGGAGTTGGTAAGGCTCGTAATGTTAATTTAAATCAAGATTTGGATATTAACTGCTTGAACAGTAATTTTTCTGCTGCTTCTCCTCTAGACGCTAAAGTCAAAGAGGAAACTTTGCTATACCTTTCTTCACTGCCAACTCCTGCCTTTACTCCATTTGTGTTTAGTCAATTCTCTGGTTGTGATGTTGAGGGAACCATTCGTGCCATAGACTCTAAAGCACTTGGTAACGACAATATTGGCCGTAACATGATTCTTCCTTTGGTTGACATTCTAACGCCTATTATAACTATAATCCTCAACAAATCCATTGCTTCTAGTACTTTTCCAAGTATATGGAAGGAAGCTCAGATAATTCCTCTCCCTAAAAAATCCAATCCAGTTACGATGTCTGATTTCCGACCTATTTCCATACTTCCTTTCCTGTCCAAGGTCCTAGAGCGTCTAATTAACAGACAGTTAAGTGTATTTCTAAATAAAAATAACCTATTAAATCCTTTCCAATCCGGTTTTCGTCCCGGTCACAGTACAGCGAGTGCCTTAGTTAAAATCGGCGACGACATTCGCTGTGGTATGGAGAAGCGCAAGCTTACAGTATTAACATTACTTGATTTTAGTAATGCTTTTAATAATGTTGATTTTGACATACTGTTAAGTTTGATGAGTTCCCTTAACATATCTCCAACTGTTATTGACTGGTTTCGTAGTTATCTACACGGACGCCGGCAACGTGTACGTATAGGAGACTCTTTCTCTGAGTGGAGCTTTACGTCTTCTGGTGTTCCTCAGGGCGGCGTGCTTTCTCCCTTATTATTCGCCATTTTTATTAATTCTATTACTCATAATCTAACTTCCACCTACCACTTGTATGCTGATGATCTTCAAATTTATACGCAAGAGAGATTTGATAACTTGAACGATGCTATCCGCAAGATCAATATTGATTTAGATCGTATAGTGAACTGGAGTTCGTCATTTGGTTTGAATGTGAATCCTAAGAAGACTCAGTGTATAATAATTGGCAGCCCTTACTTTGTGTCCAGGATTGATTTCGGGCAGTTGTCGAAAATTACTTTGGACGGGACAGTGATTCCATTTACAGATACGGTGAAAAACCTAGAACTTTTATTTGACAAATCTTTATCCTGGAGACCACAAGTTGCAGAAGTTAGTAGACGAATGTTTGCTTCAGCTGGGCGCTGCGGCGCTTACGTAACTTCTTACCAACTGCCACCAAAATTACTCTTGCACAATCCCTACTTCTACCTATACTCGATTATGCAGATGTGTGCTATCTAGACCTTACAGTTGAGCTTCTTAATAAGCTAGAACGTCTCCAAAATTTCGCCATAAGGTTCATATTCGGACTGCGTAAATATGACCATGTCTCTCACTATCGTCAAAAGTTGAATTGGTTGACCATTCGCCGACGCAGAGACCTACACATATTATCCCTTCTCTTTTCTGTGCTGTTCAATCCATTGTCACCCAGATATCTCAAGGAGAATTTTAAGTTTCTTTCCTCTACTCACAATCTTCCCCTTCGTTCGTCTGACAATCTCCGCCTTTACATACCGCCTAACTTTTCTCAATTTTTACAATACAAACAAAACAGGGACAACTTTATGACTTTTAACTACAGCAAAGTTTTTATCTTTATAAAAAAATAAATCGCTAAAGGTGTTAGGTTATTTAGTGGAAAATTAAAATTACTAGTTGGGCTGATTTAAATTAGATAAATCTCTAGAAAGGTTTATTGCAAATAAAATTAAAAAATAAAACAACATTATTTTTTAAGTTCAGTATTGAAAGGATAAAAACGGAAGCCTTATTCGAGCACTTGAGTTAGGACCCGTACGCTGGGCCGGCCCGTCCATGTAAGCAAACTAGGCAACTGCCTAGAGGCGGTCATATTTAGGGCGCAAAATGGCATGTGAAATAGATTATGTTTTACTTAAAAATGCAGAACCTTAAAAACTTTTGTTTTTCAAACATAACAATATATGTCCGCGATATTGACCTACAAAATTTTCAAACCAGCAGTACCTAAGAAGCTGATTTTATCATTGGCAAAATTACACTCTTTAATCGGTACACATATATTAGTATTTTTTTGTTGTGATTTATGCGGGCGTCGTTCCAATTTTTTGTCTAGGGTGCAAAGTTCCAGTCTTTTGCCTAGGCACCAAGCTTCATTGAGCCGGCGCAGTCCGTACGATTGTGCCTTGATCATAATAGGTGAATCAATGTAGATGCTATTGTTATGTTCGTTTATAATATTAAATTTCCATTTCGAAGCCAAAAGACCGCAAATTGAGGTTGTAGAACAACCGCAGACGTTTCCCCTGTTTAGTGAAATTGTTATGCATTATAAATGTAACAGACACTCTTACTGTCAAGTTTCTCATTGAGATTGATCAAGAGATTTATACTTAGCTGCTTACGAAGTAAAGGTTGTTTAATATTTTATTTCTAAACGACTTCAAAACTTGACAGATGTCTCCGCGAATTGTGAACAGATAAAAAAATATCCTTAGTTTCGAATTCGAAAGCTTATGGGCCATGGGTGACCCCACACGAATTTTACCTAAATCGGATCAGTAGTTTTGTTTTCGTAACAAAATATCTAGAAGCGTTCTGCCAAATAACATGAATACATTTTACATCTCAGATTAATAAGTCACAAGGATAACCAGTAAGT